GAGTGGTTGGTATTTTTGTTTAATAAATGTATGAAAGAAGGGAAGGTACCTAGGTATTGGCAGAGAGCATGTATAGTTCCTTTATATAAAGGGAAGGGGGACAAAAGAGATTGTAAAAATTATAGGGGAATAAATTTACTGAGTATACCAGGAAAAGTGTATGGTAGGGTTATTATTGAAAGAATTAGAGGTAAGACAGTAAGTAGGATTGCAGATGTGCAAGGAGGCTTTAGAGAAGGTAGGGGATGTGTATATCAAGTGTTTACATTGAAGCCTGTATGTGAACAATATTTAGATAAAGGTAGGGATCTTTTCATTGCATTTATGGATTTAGAAAAGGCATATGATAGAGTAGATAGGGGAGCATTGTGGCAGATGTTGCAAGTACAGTGGACCCCCGGTTCGCGATATTAATCTGTTCCTGAGAGCTCATTGTAAACCAAAATTATCGGAAAGCGAATCAATTTTCCCCATAAGAAATAATGGAAATCAAATTAATCTGTGCAAGACACTCAAAAGTATGAAAAAAAAACTTTTACCACATGAAATATTAAGTTTAATGCAATAGAATAATTACAATAACAACAATAACAATAGAATAATTGACACTTACCTTTAATGAAGATCTGGTGATGATTGATGGGATGGTAGGAGGGGAGTGTTGAACCTATTGTTTAGAAGGGGAATCCCCTTCCATTAGGACTTGAGGTAGCAAGTCCTTTTCCGGGGTTATTTCCATTCTTCTCTTAATGCCACTAGGACCAGCTTGAGAGTCACTGGACTTCTGTCGCACAACATATCTGTCCATAGAGGCCTGTACCTCTCGTTCCTTTATGACTTTCCTAAAGTGGTTCACAACAGTGTCATTGTACAGGTTGCCAACACGGCTTGCAGTAGCTGTCTGAGGGTGATTTTCATCAAAAAAGCTTTGCACTTCAAGCCACTTTGCATGCATTTCCCTAATCTTTGAAGTAGGCAACTTCTTCACTTTATCCATCCCCTCCTCCGAAGCAGTTTCCTCAGGTCTGGCCTCTTGCTGTTGAAGATGATCTAGCAGCTCATCAGTGGTTAGTTAGTCATTGTCCTCCTCCATCAACTCTTCCACATCCTCCCCACTACCTCCAACTCCAAGGACTTCCCCAATGCCACAATGGATTCCTCAACTGGCATAGGCTTCTCAAGGTTAGCCTCAAGCCCTTCGAAATCTCAACATTTTCTAACACTTGCGGTCGCTGTTTCGTAATCACAGTTGCACCATTTGCAAGAACAGCTTCCTTGATTGCCGTTTTCCTGCTCACTATAGTAGAGATGGTTGATTGGGGTTTACTTTACAACTTGGCCAGCTCCGACACACGCACTCCACTTTCGTACTTTGCAATTATCTCTTTCTTCATTTCAATAGTCATTAGCACCCTTGGTCTCGAAGGGTTGGCACTAGAAGCTTTCTTGGGGCCCATGGTGACTTATTTTGCAGAAACAAGCACCAAAAACAGTGATAATATGGATAATATGGAATGTACCGAATGTATCCTTAGATGCGCGCACACTGGCTGGCTTGTAAACACTGGCACAGACAGGGCAGTTCAGGCCACACATGGACACGTCCCGTACGAATCGCATCGCATACCGGGTTTTGTAACGGGAACCGAGGCAAATTTTTTGCGATATAATGCATCGGATACCAGATTTATCAGATACCGATAGCATCGCGAACCGGGGGTCCACTGTATATGGAATAGGTAGTAAGTTACTAAATGCTGTAAAGAGTTTTTATGAGGATAGTGAGGCTCAGGTTAGGGTGTGTAGGAGAGGAGATTACTTTCCGGTAAAAGTAGGTCTTAGACAGGGATGGGTAATGTCACCATGGTTGTTTAACCCTTTGACTGTTTTGGTCGTATATATACGTCTTACACGCCACCGTTTTGGACATATTTATACACGTAAATTCTAGCGGCTTCAAATCAAGCAGGAGAAAGCTGGTAAGCCCACATGTGAGAGAATGGGTCTGTGTGGTCAGTGTGCACCACAAAAAAAATCCTGCAGCACGCAGTGCATAATGAAAAAAATAACTGACCATTTTTTTGGATTAAAATGCCGACTTTGAGGTGTATTTTTATATAGCATTTATCATTGTATTCTCGTTTTCATGGTCTCGTGTGATAAAATGGAAAACATATTACAGAAATAGAGATGATTTTGATTAGTTTCATGATGAAAATGACCTTGAAATTGAGCTCAAATTAGAGGAAATGTTCGATTTTTACCAATGTTCAGGAGTAAGCAAATCACACCACACGTCCAATACACATCAACTGGAGAGTCTGATATTCTTTCACTAGTGCACTGATATTATTTATACCATTTTTACAATAATGCAGTAGTCTGCATAATTGTAAATTTTGTATTTTTTGTATGAATAAAAAATCAAAATAGAAAGCAATAGTAATATAAGAGGGGCCTAGAGACGTGACTAATGAGCAGAGGATATGTTATTTTAGTGCCAAGAATGTCTGCATTGTTTATTCTGGACCCTATTTTGAAATTGGAACCTTTTTTAATTTGTGTGAAATTGGCCAAATTGCCAATTTCTGACCACTTTATTGGGTAGTTCAAATCGGTAAATGGGCGGTTTCTTGTACTCAACTGATAGAAAAAATGGAGTTCTAAAGAAATAGCTATGAGTTTGGTCACCTGGAACAACGGAATTGGCCAAAAACAGGGCCCAAAGTCGGCGAAATCGCCGATGCATATATGTTGCCGAGACCGCTAACTTCGCGTTAGCATAATTCCATGAGTTTTCGACCAAATTTTGTACTTTTTGTGTCATTATCATCGGGAAAAGATTATGATTTCATAAGAAAAAATAATTTTTTTTTTTTCCAAAAATTTTGCGACATAGAATGACAGTTTCAGAAAGGGGCTTGCGACAGTCAAAGGGTTAATATATTTATAGATGGGGTTGTAAAAGAAGTAAATGCTAGGGTGTTTTGGAGAGGGGTGGGATTAAATTATGGGGAATCAAATACAAAATGGGAATTGACACAGTTACTTTTTGCTGATGATACTGTGCTTATGGGAGATTCTAAAGAAAAGTTGCAAAAGCTAGTGGACAAGTTTGGGAGGTAGAAAGTTGAAAGTGAACATAGATAAAAGTAAGGTGATGAGGGTATCAAATGATTTAGCTGAAAAATAGGATATCACATTGGAGTCAAGGAGTATTGAAGAAGTGAATGTTTTCAGATATTTGGGAGTTGACTTGTCAGCAGATGGGTTTATGAAGGATGAGGTTAACCATAGAATTGATGAAGGAAAAAAAAGGTGAGTGATGCATTGAGGTATCTGGAGACAAAAAACATTATCCATGGAGGCAAGGAAGGGAATGTACAAAAGTATAGGGGTACCAGCACCTTATATGGGTGTGAAACTTGGGTTGCAAATGCTGCAGCGAGGAGGCGGCTGGAAGCAGTGTAGATGTCCTGTCTAAAGGCACTGTGGGGTGTAAATATTATGCAGAGAATACGGAGTGTGGAAATTAGCGTGGAGGGCTGAAGAGGGATTGTTGAGGTGGTTTGGTCATTTAGAGAGAATGGATCAAAGTAGAATGTCTTGGAGAGCATATAAATCTGTAGGGGAAGGAAGGCGGGGTAGGGGTCGTCCTAGAAAAGGTTGGTGGGAGGGGGTAAAGGAGGTTTTGTGGGTGAGGGGCTTGGACTTCCAGCAAGCATGTGTGTGTTAGATAGGAGTGAATGGAGACGAATGGTTTTTGGGACCTGACGAGCTGTTGGAGTGTGAGCAGGGTAATATTTAGTGAATGGATTCAGGGAAACCAGTTATTTTTATATGGCCGGACTTGAGTACTGGAAATGGGAAGTACAATGCCTGCACTTTAAAGGAGGGGTTTGGGATATTGGCAGTTTGGAGGGGTATGTTATATATGCTTCTAAACTGTTGTATCAGGAAATCTCTGCAAAGATGCTGATTATGTGTGAGTGAGGTCAAGGTTTTGAATGATAATGAATGTATTTTCTTTTTGGGGATTTTCTTTCTTTTTGGGTCACCCTGCCTCATTGGGAAACGGCTGACTTATTGAAAAAAAAAAATCAGTGAATGGGACTGCAAGTTCCTTGCAGTACCTGTCTAGCCAGCAATTTATACCAATTGCCCTAGACATCTATTCATGCCCACTCCCCTTCTAAGCAAGATGCTACATATGACTGGGAATCCCTTAGACCTGACAACTTCTATGGCTGACCTGTACTTATCCCGCATCTCCTGTCTCCTGCCCTTCCTGATGTCATTTCCACCAGCACTAAGATAATGGGCTTGTTCCCATTACCTGACATATTATCCAACTTGCTGACTATGTCACCAACACCAGCTCCTGGGAGGCACACCCTCTGTCTGACCTTCCTATCTGTTACAAAAACACAGTCCATATATCTTACCTGAGAATCTCCTACAATTAGAATATTCTTACCTTGATTAGCAGGGGAGTCAGTGGTACCTTTAGCCTCACTAACCACTGGAGTACAGTTGTCCTGGAAAACAGAGAATCGATTTCCTACCTTTACATCTTCCTCTTCCTGAATTGTGAACCACTTGCCACTTAAAGCAGCTGCAACTCTTTAACTCATTGCTGGTATCCTTTTCCTCACCAGCTCCAACCATCTCACACTCACTCCCAAACCCATCTAGGCAAAGCTTCAGCCTCCTATTTTCCTCCTGAAGAAGTAGACCTTCCTTCTTCAACACTTTAACCTGAGATTCCATGATGCTCAGTAACACCCCACGCTAATTCCCAGACAGCTTAAGACAGTGATCACACGTGACCTCTGACCACAGCGTACTGAACATAAGAAAGGAGGAACACTGCAGCAGGCCTGTTGGCCCATACTAGGCAGGTCCTACTCTATTTGCATAATTGATGGCAGTACAATGTCAGTATAGTACATATTAAAACTTTTTTTTTTTTTGTTCTATTACGGTGATTTTGTTTACAGAGAATGAGAAACAAATTCTTCAGGAACGCATTATCACCTTAGTGAGTGAGAATGATTGCTTGGCAGCGAGACTGGAAGGAAGTAGTTGGAATGTCACGCAGCTTGAGTGAACAGATGCACTCGGCAAAGAAGCAGCTTGTAAATTTAACAACAGAAAAGGAAAGTTTACAAAAGAGAGTCAGGTTGGTTTTTAGTAAAGATTATAAAATGAGAATCATGACAGCATTATGTGACATTTAGCTTTTGCTGTTGTTGTTGTTGTTGTTGTTGTTGTTGTAGGACATGTGCACAGCATTATGTGACATTTAGTTTTTGTTGTTGTTGTTGTTGTAGGACATGTGCAACAAGAAACAAATCATTCACCTCATAAATTGGTCATTTCCCATTCACCATTTCTCATTTTCACCTTTAGAACTTGAGCTCTAGAGGTGGGAAGTACAGTGCCTGCTCCCTGAAGGATGGGTGGGATACAGTATTGCAGTTCAGAGAATCATGAGAGTTGTAATGCTCATTTCGTCTGGAAAGACAGCTAGGGAATGAGTGATGATGAACATGTTTTCCTTCTCTGGGCCACTCTTCTTCAGTTGCTTGAAATTCTGTCCATTTCACCCATCTCTTTCTGGCTTACTGTAAATTATTAATACCACATTACTTTCTTAGACTATAATATTAGACAAGCTCAAGATGCTAATTTTCACTTACAGTGGAACCTTGGTTTTTATATGCCCCAGTTTTCGTAGGTTTCAGTTTTCGACAACTCTTTTTGTCAAAATTTTGTCCCAGTTTTCGTACATCCGCTCGGGTTTCGTAGAGTTGAAAATGGTCCATACCAAATGTGTCCACGTTACTCGGCCACACAAAGCATCCCATGCGTTCGTGGCTCAGTCTGCTTTTGTTTCTTGTTGAGTGAGCATCACCCCGCATGTTCATCCGAAACATTTTGTAATAATCCATTGTTTTTTGTGCTTGTTTATCGAGTGCGACTGCTAAATAAGCCACTATGGGGCCAAAGAAAGTTCCGAGTGCCAGCCCTTTGATAAAGAAGGCAAGAAACACGATAGAATTCAAGAAAGACCTCGTAGCAAAGTACAAAAGTGGCGAACGCGTGGCTGAGTTTGCCAGGATGTACGGGAAGTCCACATCAACCATCAGTTCCATGCTGGCGAAGAAAAAAGAAATAAAGAAAGCCAATGTTGTGAAAGGGGTGAATGTGCTAACGAAACAAAGATCGCGAACAATCGAAGATGTTGAGAAGTTGTTGTTGGTGTGGATCAACGAAAAACAGTGGGAGATAGTGTTTTGGAGGTGATTACAGTGACTCTTAAGCTGGTCTTAGTGCCAGTAAAAGACAAAGATGGGAAGTAACCCCAGATAGGGCCTTGATACCTGAAGTCCTTATGGAAGGGAATTCCCCTTCCAAACAATACCCTCTCCTCCTCCCTCTCCCCTCCTCGCTGTCTTCCATATGCCAACAAGAGTCTTGATTAAGGTAAAAGTGATGTTAAATGTTCATTTATCCATTTCATTAGTCATTTATATTTATTGATCTTTGTTTTATGTATGTAAAACTGTAGTTATTCTCTATAAAATGTATTTTTTGTTAATATTTTTGGGTGGCTGGAACGAATTAATTGGATTTACATTATTTCTTATGGGAAATATTGCTTAAGTTTTCATCAGACTTTTTAGAACAGATTAATCACGAAAACCGAGGTTCCACTGTATTTTTTATTTATTTACGAATGGTATACACTATTTGTATGTACTGTATTATGTCATTTTGTCCCCACATGAGAGGTTCTGTGATGTCAGTTAGGGGCTCTTAGTCCAAGGAAATGGACCAGTTCTCCCCTTCCTTGGATCAAATTTGAATGCCTTCCATTCCCTCAAGTTCTGTATGATGCCTGTGGGTTAAGCATTCCCTTATGAATGTACTACTAATAATACATCACCTTGTCTTGAATATTAAAGGTGTGTTGCTGACAGTATTGAAGAAAAGACACAAGTAGTAGGATAAACTTTTATAGGGAGAATGTTTAACCTTTATCTAGCTTTATAAGACTTTAACAGAGCAAAACATTGTCTCAATAAAAGCTTGTTCTTCAGTGTCTTTTCTTCACTTTCATTTTTCTTAATTTTATTAAGTGTGTTGATAAGCTGTGCATTTATTTATACCTCGTATCTAGTTTTGTTCCCAATCCCCATATTTTTCCAAGGTCTTTGGAAGATGGAAAAGAAGATAGCTCTTTGAGTTTAACCGATTCAGTTGGCAGTACCCGAGTCACCCAGCGACTAAGGGAACGAACACGCAGCTTGCAGGTACAATATCACTTGCATAAGTTTTTGTGTGCAGTACATTGTGTTGTTAATATTTTGTCAAGCATTTAAAATTTTAGAATTTTATGTTCTTTATTGCGAGTATGTTTTGACCCTGGGTTAATACAGTATAATGGTTTATTCCTAAGAGATGTAAAGCATTCATTCTTTCATAGGTAATTCCTGCTCAGTATAGTAAACATGTAAGTTATAAACATATGATTGTATTATCGTTTATAATTATAATGAGTACAGTGCAAAATATAATTCCAACATATTTTTTTATTACCATATTTTTTAGCATATAAGGCACACCCCAATTTTAGCAAAGGAAAATAGAAAAAAATGCAGTACAGGAGGGCCCTTCATATACAGCAGGGCCCTGCATATACAGCAGCACCCTGCATATACAGCAGGGCCCTGCATATACAGCAGGGCCCAGCATATACAGCAGGGCCCAGCATATACAGCAGGGCCCAGCATATACAGCAGGGCCCACCATATACAGTAGGGCCCTGCATATGCAACAAGGCCCTGCATATACAGTAGGGCCCTGCATATACAATACTCTTTTTGGTGTTCCACATTTTTCATTGGCAGTACAGGAGGGCCCTGCATATACAGCAGGGCCCTGCATATACAGCAGGGCCCTGCATATACAGCAGGGCCCTGCATATACAGCAGGGCCCTGCATATACAGCAGGGCCCTGCATATACAGCAGGGCCCAGCATATACAGCAGGGCCCACCATATACAGTAGGGCCCTGCATATGCAACAAGGCCCTGCATATACAGTAGGGCCCTGCATATACAGCACTCTTTTTGGTGTTCCACATTTTTCATTGGCAGTACAGCAGGGCCCTGCATATACAGCAGGGCCCTGCATATACAGCAGGGCCCTGCATATACAGCAGGGCCCTGCATATACAGCAGGGTCCTGCATATACAGCAGGGCCCTGCATATACAGCAGGGCCCAGCATACAGCAGGGCCCAGCATATACAGCAGCGCCCAGCATATACAGCAGGGCCCAGCATATACAGCAGGGCCCAGCATATACAGCAGGGCCCAGCATATACAGCAGGGCCCAGCATATACAGCAGGGCCCAGCATATACAGCAGGGCCCTGCATATACAGCAGGGTCCAGCATATACAGCAGGACCCAGCATATACAGCAGGGCCCAGCATATACAGCAGGGCCCAGCACATACAGCAGGGCCCAGCATATACAGCAGGGCCCAGCATATACAGCAGGGCCCAGCATATACAGCAGGGCCCAGCATATACAGCAGGGCCCTGCATATACAGCAGGGTCCAGCATATACAGCAGGACCCAGCATATACAGCAGGGCCCAGCATATACAGCAGGGCCCAGCACATACAGCAGGGCCCAGCATATACAGCAGGGCCCAGCATATACAGCAGGGCCCAGCATATACAGCAGGGCCCAGCATATACAGCAGGGCCCAGCATATACAGTAGGGCCCTGCATATGCAACAAGGCCCTGCATATACAGTAGGGCCCTGCATATACAGCACTCTTTTTGGTCTTCCACATTTTTCATTGGCTTTCAGTTGAGACATCGTTCATTAAGTTCAGAGCTTTTACCATTTTTTCACCGTCTTCATAAAACACTTGCGTAGGGTGACCAGCACCATATTTTAAGGTAAGTATTGTATATAATGTGTATTTATTTTACTTTTTTATCTTTTTTTTTATGCCTAGCTGTATTGAGCATTTATTATATGATAGTGTAAACCTATTATCAGGCATTTTAGATACATTCAATAAAGAAAAAAAAATGCTCTTTTCCACTTCTCGGCAATTATTGCTTACCGTACTGTGTCTGGGACATAAGAGCTGTACAAACGGGGCCCTCTGTACTTGCTTCAAAATGATAGTGAACCAGTGGCTGGCTGCTTAACAGCATTGCTAAAAGAGGTGGAACCTTGCGTAACCTTATCTGCTCCGCCACCATCAACCACCAAAACAAATATGGCTACCTGATGTTTACAGATGACTACTTTACAGTTTCTTACAAGTACTGGTGCTGGTTTGCTGATTATGTACTAGTAATATGTAAGTTATAGTGCATTTTTTGTCGCTTTTCCATGATTTATTGCATTATGTAAGTTATAATAGTTATTACTTACTCTAAAATAATCTTGGAAACAGTGTTGTAAAAGAGAAAGGTGTTTATAGTTTAGTGTAACAGTACCACAGCACTGAAACCACCACTTGCCAATAACTCAAAGCCAACCCTTGTTTCTAACCTTGAGCATATAAGGTACAATGTGATTTTTCTGAGACTTTTTTTTTTTTTCTTTTTTTTTGAGGGGGAAGAACTTCTTATATGCCAGAAAATAGGGAAAATGCTTTCTAAAAAAAAAAAAAAAAAAAAGTTCTTTAATGAATACTGCCAATAAGCAAACAAGTTTCAGTATTTTTCACTAGCTATTTAAACATACTGATTCATACATTCTTTTTTGTTATTGGTAGTCGTCCCCTTTTTTTCTTTTCAGGAATGTGAATGAACTACAGGATGTTTTGTGTGTTAGAGTATCAGTGATAGGTAAACATCACAAAGCCATACTCTGATCAGTTAGAGTTCATATATTATTAGAACCAATAATAATAATAATAATAATAAGCATAATACTCTACCTTCATTATATAGTATTGGATAGCTGTTTCTTTTTCTGCACTTCCACTTTTCCTTCATGATATATAATCTGATGATTTATACAATTTTAAGAGTTTTCATATATTTTCAACATCATTGTATGTATTATATGGTTGATATAACATTACTGTAACAATAATTACCATTGAGACTGAAAATATAACTGCAAAAGTGTCCAGATGTAAGTAATGATCTTCTGTACATATGTACACACTTATTCATTCACTTTTAAATTAATAGAATGCTAGGTATCTCAAGCTTATTTTACTCTTGAACAGAGTGAAGTAGAGCAGGCATGGCAGGAAGTTCACCAGCGTACCATGGAAAGGGACAAGGCCTCTGCTGAAAAAGTCTCTCTGGAGTGTACTTACAGCATCAACCTTAATACAGCAAGAAGAGAGGTTAGAGTGATCATCACGAATGTGCTAGTTCTTTAGTGTATATTTCTGAGTATGATCAATCCATTTTGAGTTGGTCTTTGTAAATTAAATCTTCCATTTCTCCTATACAGTACTGCATAACTAATAAACTAGAATAGAACCAATTGGTAAACTAGTCATTGTGATTTATCATGCAGAGTAACATCATTCAACACACCACTGATTTATTTGTTTAGTGAAAGACTTTGCTTATAAAGCAGGTAAATATAAAGTGACTATTTTTGGTTCTTCAGTTATGTTTGAATTTCAACTTTGCATCATCTTTCTGTCCAAATTTTCAGCTGCTTATTTATATAGCACAGTTGTAATACTGAATGATCTCCATAGGTATAGTGATTTACTGTACATTAATGTAATAACAATAGGGTGGATATAGCAGCCATGCGGAAGATGCTGCTAATGTATGGAACAGGAGGTAGGTTACTAAAAGCATTTAAGAAGTTTTTATATGGATAACAAGGCTCAGGTTAGGGTATGTAGGAGTGAGGGGAGAAGGAATGTTTTGTAGTACTTAGACAGGGATGTTTAACACATTTATAGATAGGGTTGCGAAAGAGGTGAATGTTAGGGTGTTGAGAAGAGGTGTGGGACTGAAAGTATTGGATCTGATACAAAGTTGGCATTATCACAATTGCTCTTTGCTGATGACTCTGTTCTTCTGGGGAATTCTGAAGAAAAGTTGTAAAGGTTGGCACATGAACTTGGTAGGATATGTAAAAGTTGTGATGTTAGCCAGATTGATTCCTGGAGGTGGGAAGTGCAATGCCTGCACTTTAAAGAAGGGGTTTGGGATATTGGCTGTTTGGAGTGACATCTAAGCTGTTGTATCTGAGCACCTCTGCAAAGATAATGATTGTGTGAATGTGTTTCTTTCTATTTTGGGTCACCTTCCCTTGGTGGGAAACAGCCGACATGTTGAAAAAAATATAAAGAAGATTAAGAGTGAACATACAAAAGAGCAAGGTGATGAGGGAAATAAAAAATCTAGGTAGTGATAGAATATCAAATTAGAGAGGAGGGGGGGGGGAGTATGGAGGAAGTGAATAAGTAGTATGTATTTAGGTATCTGAAAATTGAAATGGGTTTATGAAAGTTGAGATGAATTATAAAATATATAAGCGAGGGGGGAGAGTGAAGGTGCATGGTGCATTAAAGCATCTGTGGAAAAAACTAAGTTTATCTATGGAGGCAAAAAACCAGGAAAAGGGGGAGGGGGCAGAAGTGTCGTTAAAGTTGGTGTCACCCGGGGCGGAATCATTGGTCACCCAGGGCGGCATCTTTGGTGTCACCCCCATGAAATCCAAGGATGGGGGGATAGGGGTAGTAAACTCCAGTTACATCACTGCTGCATGACCAGTGACTAATGTTTAGCAATGACAACGTTTAAAGGCCATAAACCGAACTTTATTAATGATAAAATAAATAATCGTAGTAATATTGAGGAAATATAAACTCAAATACCACTTTGAGTATAGGCAACAGATCCTACATTTATTCATCATCAACAGTGAAAAAAAAAAAACTTGAAAAATAAAGAAAAACACTAGTTCCGATTTAACCTTGAGTACAGGTAACATCTCAAAGAATCTGATATTTCATTTCCTTGCCTTCAATCCTGCAAAATCATCTATCACATCATCAAAATCAATGATTTTCCCTATATAGGCCTATTTGTACTATGTAATCCTATAATAGGCTATATAGAAATGAAGAATTTTTCTCTTGGGTTGCTGCAGCATGGTTTTGGTCATTAGTGTTACCTTCTTTAGAGGCTCTATGGTGTCACCCCCTAAATGGTGTCACCCGGGGTGCCTCCCCCCACCCCCCTTATGACGCCTCTGGGGAGGGGGGAAGAATGTATCAAGATATAATGGTACCAACACTTTTATATGGGTCTGAGGCTGGAGGCAGTGGAGATGTCATGTTTGAGAGTGATATGTAGTGTGAATACACCATAAAAAAATAATTGGAGCATAGAAATTAAAAGATGTGGGGTCACCATGAGTATAATTCAGAAGGCTGAAGAGGGGTTGTTGAGCTTTGGATATTTAGAGAGGAAGAAGAGAGATAGGATGATGAAGAGGTTATATAAATCTGGGATAGATGGTAGGCGAGGTAAGGGTCATCATAGGAATGGTTGGAATGAGGGGCTAAAGGAGGTTTTGAGTTTTAGGGACTTGAGCATCCAGCAGGCTTATGTGAGCATGTTAGATAGGAGTGAATGGAGACAAGTGATTTTTAATGGATGTGCTGTTAGAGTGCGAGTAAGGTAATATTTATGAAAGAATTCATGGGAAAAAATTGTTAGCTGAACTTGAGCCCTGGAGGTGGGAAGGGCACAGGAGCAGTGCCAGAATTTCTGTATTGGGGGCTAAGAGACTTGATTTGAAGCAGTGTTATTATTATTATTATTACTATTTTTATTGGGGTGCTCAGGGAAATTTGGGGGGAACTGAAGCCTCCCCAAGCCCCTTTTCCCACTGGTGTCACTACCAGAAGGGGAATGGGGTGAGGGTGTTGCAGTTGGAGGAAAATCTGAGTTGTGATGTTAGCAAACAGACTGTTCAACATTTTACCAGTAGATATCAGAAACACGGCTGGAACAAGTGTAGAAGCCTTCAAGAGGAAACTGGACAGGTATCTTCACCAGGTGCCTGATCAACCAGGCTGTGATAGGTATGTGGGGTGGCGGGCCTGAAGCAGCAACAGCCTGGCTGACCAGGCAAGCGCCAGAAGAGCCTGGCCCATGGCTGGGCTCAGAAAGTAGAGAAACTCTCAAAACTCTTCAAAGGTATTATGGCAAGAAAGCAGTTAAATGAATGATGGTGTATGGGTTACCTTCTCTGGGGTCACGCTGCTTTGGCAGGAGATGGCTGTTAAGATAAAAAAAAAAATGCATTCATATACAGTAGGGCACGACTTATACGGCAGGGTAGGTTCCAGGCTACCACCATAAAGCGGAAATTGCCATAAAGTGAAACACCCTTTTTTCCACTTACAAATGCATATAAATACTAATAACAAGTTTACACTAACATATATTAAGTTAACAATATAACTAGGTGTTAAAAACAATAAAAAAGTAAAATGCAAATATAGTGTACTCATTACTTACCTTAAAATATTTGTAGTGTTATTGTAGGGCCAGAGGTGAGTAAACAAGATAAAACGAATAAACGAGAAAGAGAGAGAGAGAATGAGTACATGAGAGAGGACAGATGCAGAGTTATGTAAACAAGCCAGGTGAACATGTCTGGTTTGTGTACAAGTTTGTCTCCATGTTGATACAGTAGAATAAAGAGCAACACTCTCATTCTTATGTAACACCATTTTTAGAAGAAATGACACTATGAGTGAAGGCATATTAAAGGAATAACTTTCTACAGTTACCCCCAATAATATTATAGTGTACACATTTTCTCTGATGTTGGACTAAAGAAAATGTTATTCTTGCCGTCACTCCAACAAGTTGCCTGGCTACTACATCTCATACAGTGGAACCTCGGTATACGACCAGCTCCCTACTCGAGCAAAACTCAGCACTCGACCAAATACGACCTGCCAGAATTTCCTTTAAACTGTTTCGTGTTTCTTCACATTGTTTGGTGTTTTTTTGTATTACAGTGGACCCTCGAGTTTCAGCAGCATCGACTTTCGTGAAATCTGACTTTCGGCAAAATTTGGCCTCGAGTTTCGTGATTAGACTCGTGATTCGGCAACTGTCTGGTACCTGTCCGCCCGTCCCCACGCACACAAACCAGTCTCCCACGCCATTCACGCTCAGTGTGCCATTGTTTACCAACACGTGACCATCACCCCGCGGGTTCATACGTAATAATCCATTGTTTTTTGTGATTGCAGCTGCTAAATAAGTCATCATGGGCCATGGGCCCAAGGAAAGCTAGTGCAAGCCCTTTGGTAAAGAAAGTGAGGAACACGATCGAATTCAAGAAGGAAATCATTGAAAAATATGAGAGTGGAGTGCGTGTTACAGAGCTTGCCAGGATGTATGGCAAACCCCATTCAACCATAACTTCGATCGTGGCGAAAGGAAAGGAAATAAAGTGTGCTGTTATTGCAAAAGGGGTAGATATGCTGACAAAAAGGAGATCACAAATCCTCGATAAAGATACCCAGGAGTTGCACATGTGTCTAATTTATCAATATTATGATTATTAAATGTGTATATTAAATGTGATTATAATTGAGTATTATTATTTTGTTTTTGTTTTTTCAACTGATTTTAATGTGTACTTGCATGGCAGCACAGTGTGTAAAGTTTATTTAGGTATAGGTATACATAAGTATAATTATCAGAGTGTAGTATATAAAATATGAAATAACTTTTAAAAACACTTGAAATTTTGGAAAGTTTCCAGACATAATGGAGAGACACGGTGCTCACGGAGCTCACGGAGAATATAAACAAACCGGGTGGGGCGCGGTGACTGTATTAGAAAGACAGGTGGGGGGAGCCGTATAGCGAGTTTTTGTCATAATTTGAAATGTCCATATTAGCGGAATGTCGTAAAGCAAAACAGTGTAGAGCGGGGCCCTACTGTATACATATACAGTGGACCCTCATTTTCATAATTAATCCGTTCCAGAGAGTGTGACTAATGGCGAAATTGACGATTTGTGAAACCATTTACCTCATAAGAAATAATGTAAATCCAATTAATCTGTTTCAGACCAAAATATTAACAAAAAAATATTTTTTACATGAAATATGGATTTACATACACAGAAAACAATGAGACATAAAGAATAAAACAATAATAACATCACACTTACCTTTATTGAAGACTCTTGTTGGTGTATGAATAAAATATGTCATTACGTATGTTAGGAATTGTGGCGGGGGCAGGGGAGTGTGTTTGGAGGCAGGACAAGATAGTCCTTCCATATGACATTAATATCAAATCTACAGCTTATTTATGTATCACAATTCATCTAATATGACATAATGAACAATATTAATAACATAGAAACATGACATATACTCTAGAATGAATAAAAAATGTCATTATGTATGTCACAAGTGGTGGTGTATTTTATTGTTGGGTGTATAAATGCCACTGAGAGCATAAGCCATACATAGTGGTGGTGAAGGCCAGCAGAGGCAGTGGTGTTCTCAGTAGCCCTATATAACTCCAACAACATTGGAGGAGTTAGGTTCGTGCTGTTCTTTTTCTATTGATTAATCGCTTACTTTGCTTGCTACACTGTTGATGTTACACTTAATGGCTGGCTGGCGCTATAGCCTTTATCGACTCCTGCTGCTTTAGTATCGTACATATCTTAGAATCACTGAAGAAGGTACATTCTCCCCTCTCTCTTCCTCCTCCACTTTTGTACTTTGCTACGAGTTCTTTCTTGAATCCTATCGTGTTTATCACCATCTTTACCAAAGGCCTGGCACTAGGAGCTTTCATTGGGGCCATGGTGGCTTATTTATCAGTTGCAAGCACTAAAATGAATGGAATATTATGAAATGTATCGTATGAACGCATGGGATCGCCCTCACATGCTGATAAACAATGGCACACTGGCTGTGAGTGGAATGTGGGGCTGCTCGGGGCCGTGTGTACCCGTCTGGGACAAATGGCTATTTGCGAGTCAGTATTTTGACGAAAAAAGTTACGATTTTCGAAAGTTACAACTTCCAATGCTTACGAAAAATGAGGGTTCATTGTATACCAGTACAGTATATATTTTAGGATGAAACCCGCATAGAGGCACAAACTTGAAATAAGAAGAATCTGGATTCATGCGGAGCATTCTGAGCCAGACTATTGTGCTGTGCTGATCTGCTGTTGCATCACTGTCAAGAAGTGTACAGAGAGCAGCAACACATGCAGCTGTACATGACTATTTTAATGCCCTATTTAATGCTTTGCAATGCCTTGCGGTTGGGTTTCGCCCCGACTTCTTTATTCTTTTCCTCTCCCCACCTATTCTTCACCTATCCCCACTTTCCCCTCGCCTCTAGTGGGTCTTTACCTGTGAGTCCCTTCTGATTCTGATTCTGAAGAGTCTGTACTCAGGACTTCTTCAGCAATGTTCACGGTACAGCGATACCTCTCATATCTGAACTATATCGACCGAAACTGGTTCGGAAACACGGAAATTCCAGATACATGATGGGGGAAAAAATGCGCAGCTGTACCATCATATCTCCATTAGCGAAGGCAATGTAGGTTTAAAAAATGAGTCCAACGTCGTCTGGCGGTGGGACCAGACACACTGGGCTCAAATAACAGCCTCCTGGATTTCACAAACCACAGGATCCTAACTTTTCAAATGGGCTGTGGACAGAGGATGCTCCAAATACATGTACTTCAAAAGTGTTTCGACACCTGCCCTTGCTGCTGAAATTTTTGGTCTTGGAGGCACTGGATCATCATCGTTGTCACTTTTGGAATGTTCCGGGTGCAACACCGATTCTGCAATCTCTGCATCCATCAGAGATTGCACATACACCTTTTTTCTGCTCAGTCCATGGCGCAACTTAAAATGGAAGAGCCAGCCCTCAGATACCTTGATGTCTGATAGACCAATCTGCTTGCTGAATTTTTCTGCAGCCATTTTAAGTTTGGCACCACAAACCATCATACCACTACCAAGTTGTTGTAAGTACCACTTCATCACTCACTGATCGAGTTCCAAGCTCTGTGGCTTCACCGTCGCTTTTCTTTCAACACTTTTTCCAGTTTTTGAGGCATCAGAAAACTCACTTGTGTAGGCCATAATCTTATCATGAGCCTTCTTGATATCACAGAGGGTCGACTTTGCCAAATTATACTCAGCCGTAAGTCGTGTGTTGGACAAACCTGCATCCACGTGCGACAGTATTTCCCTCTTTTTTTTTTTCTGGAGTAAGCACATTCTTGGCCCTCTTTGGTGCCATACACAAGATAGCTAGGACAAGACACAACAGTAATAATGCTAAAAGGAGGAGTGGAACCCCCACAAAGGCCACAAACTCGCTTCTGGACTGCACCACCATTATGCACACCTGTTCAGTTAGGAGACAATAGTGGGACTGAGAACAATGGGTGGCGAAGAGCACGGCTCCTAGTGGCCAACCGATACGCTAAAGTGTGTGCCAAGTTTTGATTCAGCCTTCTGCTGTATCCGAACAGCTGTTTGGATGTTTCGGTAATTTTAGAATTTTGCCCTTTCCCAGGGCCTGTTTGGATATTGGTGAGGTTCGGATAATGGCAGACCAGATATGTGAGGTATCACTGTACTTGTATTTGCATATACTGTATATAGTAGTTGGTTATGGCTATATATGTTTTTTTTTTTTTTTGACATTATTTAAAACTATGTATAAACTCCACAGATTGACGCATTGAAAAGTCAGGTAACTGCCCTTGAAAATGAGAATGACAAGAAGTCAGTTGAATTAAAAAATACTCAAAATGAACTTGAAAAAAAGTCTACCGATTTCAGGGCCATTCAAGACGGTAATGTCAGTCAGTGGGAGAGGCTGATGGAAGCTGATAGAAAACTAGAAATTCTGCAGAATGAACTCAGGAAAGGACAGGAACAACTTCAGAATGAAAAAGATGAAAGAAAGGTATTGAATATTGGAGTGAGCTTTTTAATGCTAATCATATTCGTAATTACTGTACATCATTTTCAATTTATCAGAAAGCATGTTGTGAGAAAAGTAAGGGATCAAAATTCTATATGCAGATATTAAGTTGAAAGAAAGTTTGGTATTATAGCTCAAGTTTAATCCTTGACAGTGTGAAGGCTGGGTGTGAGTGTACTTATATATGGTTATACGTACATTAATAAGCTAAATACATTTAATTGCTTAATTAAAGGTCATCTATTTTCATTCACATCTGACACTAATTCTTCCTACTATGCTTTCCATAACAGTGTGCCTCAATTTTTATGAAGCAAATAGTGTCTCACTATGTTTAAAATCCTTAAACTTCAATTTAACACTTGCCACAATATACAGTAGGACCCCCCCATATCCGTGATGGATACATTACGAGGACCTGCTGTGGATAGTAGCAAACCCATTGTATGAGTCTTATACATATCTATTATGAAGTTTAATTATAAATTCTGCACAGTAAGTGGAGAATTGTCATTTTTTTTTACTGATGGGAAACACATCACTGTTTCATTAGACATTGAAGACCTGTCACCTTTTATACTTTTGTGCTTTGGGCCATTATTATGCAAAATTAAGAGGTATTTTTGGGCCACAGTAAACCATGGATAACTGAAACTGCGGATACCAAATCAGTCGATACAGGGGCTCTACCATATGTCTCCTCTGTATTTCATTTCCCTCTAGTTTCATAAACACAGCTTGTTACATCTCCTCACACCTCACTTTTATTTTATACTGCAAGAGATTTGAATTTAAGCACTTATGCTCTTCTATCCTTCTCATTAAACTATACTTTTATGTCTACTGTAGCTCTTACCCTTTGATGAACCTTATTTATTTCCTTTCTAGTCAAACTCTGATCTCTTTTTGACTAGTGCTAGGGTATTCAGCTTCCTTTCATTCATAACATAAACACTTATCACTTTCCGAACATCACTACTACATCCATTCACACTATAAAACTTCAAAATTTAATTTTTGCTTCTACAATAGTTATGACATGTTTAAAAAAAAGTGCTAACTGTCACTTTGTTTGAGGCAGTTTTATTAAGACTTGCATGGCTCTGAGGAAAAGATTCGAACCCACTTTTACCACACACAATTGTCAGATAAATCTTACCACTTGAAAAAGTGTTAAAAAGCAGAGTGGAAGATTAAGATAATTGTATAGTGACTGAAAGTAGGATGCAATAAGATTTACCTGATATCTAAAAGTTCATGTGGCACAAAGGTAAAAATGAAAACTGGCTATCTTGCCAGAGCACAAAAGATTTTAGGAGCTTCCATTTCTACTCATGTGACAGGAGGGTAGTACTCTTCTAGATAGTTGCTCTTTACCAAACTAAACAGAAGTGGCATGTTTGGTTTCCATGAGATATGCTAGTACAGGAGATTGGTGATATCCTTCTAGATTAATGCAATTGAACCTTGCCTATTTTTCTGTACAGTCTTGGGTGTGCATCATTTGAAAGGATCTTTTATTAGTAATATTTATCTGCTAGACTGTGCTATACAGTGGTACCACGAGTTTCGTACATAATTCGTTCCAGAAGGCTGTTCGAGTGCTGTTACTGAACGAATTTGTTCCCATGAGGAATAATGTAAATTAGATTAGTCCATTTCAGACCCCCAAAAATACACTTACAAAAGCACTTACAATAATACACTTAAATAATTGTTCGAGTTGGGAGCTGTACAAAACTTGGGGTACCACTGTATTAGTAAAATTTGGTAGGGTAAAAATAAAATTTTTGAATAATTGTGTAAAAAATCATGCATATTAGAGAGCAGAAACCCAGTTGGAAAAGATGAGGGAACAGATTTGCTCAGCGCCTGTTTCTGGTGTGGCTGCTAAGAGTGAACCGGTCCATGTGAGAGGAGAACGATACTGGCTGGAAACAGTTACTCGTCTCAAGGTTTGTTTCATGGGTTTTGTTCGTTGTAACCTGTTGAATAAGAAAAACAGATTATTTGATCAGTTAAACTGTTTTGTATGAATTTTATACTTTTTTGTTTAGCTAGGTAAGGAATCCACATTTGTTCTGCATACAGAGATTAGTTGCACATACAGCCGGGGGGGGTTATTTGCAGGGTTTATACACATACTGAAAGGTATGTCATACTTACTGAAGTTTTGCAGTCTCGTATCTTTTAGAAGTACATACTTGTGAATTCAGAAGAGAACATTTCAAACTTAAAATGAATACATATTCCTTATAATAATAATGTCTTTATTTACTACAAGTACATGAAAGTGAACATAGAAAAGAGTAAGGTGATGAGGGTATCAAATGATTTAGATAAAGAAAAATTGGATATCAAATTGGGGAGGAGTATGGAAGAAGTGAATGTTTTCAGATACTTGGGAGTTGACGTGTCGGCGGATGGATTTATGAAGGATGAGGTTAATCATAGAACTGATGAGGGAAAAAAGGCGAGTGGTGCATTGAGGTATATGTGGAGTCAAAAAATGTTATCTATGGAGGCAAAGAAGGGAATGTATGAAAGTATAGTAGTACCAACACTCTTATATGGGTGTGAAGCTTGGGTTGTGAATGCAGCAGCGAGGAAGCGGTTGGAGGCAGTGGAGATGTCCTGTCTAAGGGCAATGTGTGGTGTAAATATGCAGAAAATTCGGAGTGTGGAAATTAGGAGAAGGTGTGGAGTTAATAAAAGTATTAGTCAGAGGGCTGAAGAGGGGTTGTTGAGGTGGTTTGGTCATTTAGAGAGAATGGATCAAAGTAGAATGACATGGAGAGCATTTAAATCTGTAGGAGAAGGAAGGTGGGGTAGGGGTCGTCCTCAAAAAGGTTGGAAGGAAGGGGTAAGGGAGGTTTTGTGGGCGAGGGGCTTGGACTTCCAGCAGGCATGCATGAGCATGTTCGATAGGAGTGAATGGAGATGAATGGTATTTGGGACCTGACGATCTGTTGGAGTGTGAGCAGGGTAATATTTGGTGAAGGGATTCAGGGAAACCGGTTATTTTTATATAGCCGGACTTGAGTCCTGGAAATGGGAAGTACAATGCCTGCACTCTAAAGGAGGGGTTCGGGATATGAGCAGTTTGGAGGGATATGTTGTGTATCTTTATACGTATATGCTTCTAAACTGTTGTGTTCTGAGCACCTCTGCTAAAACAGTGATTATGTGTGAGTGATGTGAAAGTGTTGAATGATGAAAGTATTTTCTTTTTGGGGATTTTCTTTTTTTTTTTGGGTCACCCTGCCTCGGTGGGAGACGGCCAACTTGTTGAAAAAAAAAAAAAAAACATGTACAGAGTATACAGGCCTAGCTGACATCAATGACAAACTACTCTATAGAAAGCCACTTGTTATGCAGAGCATTTTTGGCAAATTAGATCAGTTTTGTCCCAGGAAGTGAGCCACACCAGTTGACTAACACCCAGGTGCCCATTTTACTGATGGGTGAACACGTCCAATGTTTCCAACCCTTAGCCGGGAATCGAACCCGGACCTTCACCATGTGAAGTGAACTTTTGCCACCAGGCCACAGGGCACTGTGATGAAAATATGGGAAGAAGGTCAGAGATGCTACAGATAAGAAGAGATAGAGTAGCTGGCAGTGCAGAGTAATTAAGTAGAATGTGTAGAAGCAGTTTAAGGAATATGTTTTAATTTTAAAGTAAAATAGAAAGTGGGGAAGTGGAACAGAATTCTTCCTCCATAAGCCATGCATGTCGTAAGAGGCGACTAAAATGCCAGGAGCAAGGGGCTAGTAACCCCTTCTCCTGTATACATTACTAAATTTAGAAAGAGAAACTTTCGCTTTTCTTTTTAGGTCACCCTGTCTTGGTGGGATATGGACAGTTTGTTAAAAAAAAAAAAAATCATTAGGAGTTAAATAAGTGTCAGTAGGAATATGGGATTTCATATTTCAGGGCCAGCTGCAGCAGGAGCAACTGCGGTCACGCTTACTGGAAGCTGCTGATCATGAGAGCTCTGCACGTATTTTGATTCTCCAGCGCAGTATTCGGGAAACAATCGAAGCACATGAAGCTCTGCAGGTTTGCCTCAAGTGTTTCAAATAAAATTCTGTTGCAAAGGAAAGCTGTATAATGGTTGATTTTGTGTCAAATATCAGATGAGGCTATGACTTACACCTTGTGTAAGCTAGACAATACATACAAACAGTTGAATTATTATACAGCATAAAGCTGTCTGGCCCACTTTTTAACTAGAAATGCAAACTACTACTACTAGTGGTCAAAAAGCAATATTTGTGATAACATTACTAGTTCTGTAAAAGATTGTTTCACTTTGTAATGTATCAGTTTATAATGTTTTAGCACATATCTACAGTGGTCATGAATATAAAAGACACTTATACAGCTAGAAAGTTTAATTAATGTGTCAACAACCTTATTTGGTAAACAGATACAGTAAGAGCAAAAGGGATGGGATAAACATATACATATTTTATTTAAATAAGGTAAGTTATAGCCAGTGTAGAAGGAGAATATAGAGTAGACTGAATCACTGTAGTTTACTTTATCATGATCATTATCACTGGATGAAGGCAAATAAAACCCACCAGAGAATAAAAGTTGTAATACTGTTTTTGGAGCATTTCACAACTAAACCAAAATTAGAGATGAAACTCAAATGACATTTTGGTTCATCCTAATGATGGTTTGGAATGGACTGAAATATTGTCAGTTTCATAATTTTTTGTTAGTAAATAAATCTGTTAGTAAGTCTGCCAGCCAGTGTTCAGTAAGATATGCAACAACCACTCGATGCTTTACTAAGGTAAATGGCTTGTCATAGACAGTATTAGAGATGTTGAAGACAAATAATTATGTGCAGTTGTATAGCTTTATTTCACAATTTTTTCTTTTGTTTTAAATATATTTTTCATTTTGCTCCTATGGAGCCACTTGATATTGGAATCTCTTGAATTTATTTGAATTCAATGTATTTAGGCATGATTAACTCATTTTGAGGACAGTGAAATAATTTTTTATGCACTGAGATAATGACAGATGCTGTTTATGTTAAGTGACAATATAAGATGTCAAAATAAAGCAGACATCTTTACCTTCACTTAGCTTATGCTATGCTTACTATTTGCTCTAGTTACAAGTGTTTTTATACTGCTGTTTAAGTATCATTGTATCTGTTTCTCTTTAGTAAGAATGCATAATTAATTTTTTGCTTTTAAACCATCAACTTAGGCAAAATACAACCAGCTTCGCACTGCCTATCGTACTAAGAAGGTTGAGAAGATACGACACAGAGAGCTTTCACAGCAGTACACTGCACAGGTTAAAGAGCTTGGTAAAACTTCTGCTGCACTGGAAGAAAATTTCAAGGTATTGTATGATAAATATTGTTATGTCTAGCATCTTATCGCATCACTTCAGGCTTTGAAAAAAAAAAATTGTAGGCAGTATCTTTCTGGTCAGTCATATCAAGTAGTAGTCAAATGATTCTACATCTGAGCTGTCTTCTTTACGTTATGGCATTCCTCAGGTCTCTGTTCTTGGACCGATATTGTTTGCTGTTTGTTAGTGGCTTAGCCTTACTGATGGGTACCCATGGGGTTGACTATCATTTTAATGCTGACAGTATACAAGTCTGCATCTGGGTTCTGAATATGGAGGCTGCAAAACTATACTACTTTAGTTCTCTCTTGTTAAATATTTGGACTTGGATGACAAATAGAAAATTGAAACTAAGTAAAGATAAAACAGATTTTGATTGCTAGTGGAAGTCTAAGGTGAGTATTGACTGGAGATTTTGATGCCTTTGACTGTGGTACTGTCAGTTTGCTGCTTGTGAGATCAGTGAGGAATCTGGGTGTCTACCCAGATTTTTCTTTGTTGTTTGTTGGGCACATCAACCGTAGTAGGTTGGTAGAATAGGTAGTAGGTTGGTAGACAGCAACCACCCAGGGAAGTACTACCGTCCTGCCAGATGACTGTGAAACAAAAACCTGTAATTGTTTTGCATGATGGTAGGATTGCTGGTTTCTTTTTCTGTCTCATAAACACGCTAAGATAACAGGGATATCTTGCTACTCCTACTAACACTTTGGTCACACTTCACAGACACGCACATGCATATATATATATACATACATCTAGGTTTTTCTCCTTTTTCTAAATAGCTCTTGTTCTTTTTTATTTCTTCTATTGTCCATGGGGAAGTGGAAAAGAATCTTTCCTCCGTAAGCCATGCGTGTCGTATGAGGCGACTAAAATGCCGGGAGCAATGGGCTAGTAACCCCTTCTCCTGTATACAATTACTAAAAAAGAGAAGAAGAAAAACTTTTTAAAAACTGTGTTGCTTAAATGTGCGTGGATGTAGTGCGGATGACAAGAAACAGATGATTGCTGATGTTATGAATGAAAAGAAGTTGGATGTCCTGGCCCTAAGCGAAACAAAGCTGAAGGGGGTAGGAGAGTTTCAGTGGGGGGAAATAAATGGGATTAAATCTGGAGTATCTGAGAGAGTTAGAGCAAAGGAAGGGGTAGCAGTAATGTTAAATGATCAGTTATGGAAGGAGAAAGAGAATATGAATGTGTAAATTCAAGAAGTATGTGGATTAAAGTAAAGGGTTGGATGCGAGAAGTGGGTCATAATAAGCGTGTATGCACCCGGAGAAGAGAGGAATGCAGAGGAGAGAGAGAGATTTTGGGAGATGTTAAGTGAATGTATAGGAGGCCCTTTTAACCAAGTGAGAGAGTAATTGTGGTTTGGGGACTTGAATGCTAAAGTAGGAGAAACTTTTAGAGAGGGTGTGGTAGGTAAGTTTGGGGTGCCAGGTGTAAATGATAATGGGAGCCCTTTGATTGAACTTTGTATAGAAAGGGGTTTAGTTATAGGTAATACATATTTTAAGAAAAAGAGGATAAATAAGTATACACGATATGATGTAGGGCGAAATGACAGTAGTTTGTTGGATTATGTATTGGTAGATAAAAGACTGTTGAGTAGACTTCAGGATGTACATGTTTATAGAGGGGCCACAGATATATCAGATCACTTTCTAGTTGTAGCTACACTGAGAGTAAAAGGTAGATGGGATACAAGGAGAATAGAAGCATCAGGGAAGAGAGAGGTGAAGGTTTATAAACTAAAAGAGGAGGCAGTTAGGGTAAGATATAAACAGCTATTGGAGGATAGATGGGCTAATGAGAGCATAGGCAATGGGGTCGAAGAGGTATGGGGTAGGTTTAAAAATGTAGTGTTAGTGTTCAGCAGAAGTTTGTGGTTACAGGAAAGTGGGTGAAGGAGGGAAAGAGGAGCGATTGGTGGAATGATGATGTAAAGAGAGTAGTAAGGGAGAAAAAGTTAGCATATGAGAAGTTTTTACAAAGTAGAAGTGTTTGCAAGGAGGGAAGAGTATATGGAGAAAAAGAGAGAGGTTAAGAGAGTGGTGAAGCAATGTAAAAAGAGAGCAAATGAGAGAGTGGGTGAGATGTTATCAACAAATTTTGTTGAAAATAAGAAAAGTTTTTGGAGTGAGATTAACAAGTTAAGAAAGCCTAGAGAACAAATGGATTTGTCAGTTAAAAATAGGAGAGGAGAGTTATTAAATGGAGAGTTAGAGGTATTGGGAAGATGGAAGGAATATTTTGAGGAATTGTTAAATGTTGATGAAGATAGGGAAGCTGTGATTTCGTGTATAGGGCAAGGAGGAATAACATCTTGTAGGAGTGAGGAAGAGGGCCCGTTGTGAGTGTGGGGGGTTCGTGAGGCAGTAGGTAAAATGAAAGGGGGTAAGGCAGCCGGGATTGATGGGATAAAGATAGAAATGTTAAAAGCAGGTGGGGATATAGTTTTGGAGTGGTTGGTGCAATTGTTTAATAAATGTATGGAAGAGGGTAAGGTACCTAGGGATTGGCAGAGAGCATGCATAGTTCCTTTGTATAAAGGCAAAGGGGATAAAAGAGAGTGCAAAAATTATAGGGGGATAAGTCTGTTGAGTGTACTGGTAAAGTGTATGGTAGAGTTATAATTGAAAGAATTAAGAGTAAGACGGAGAATAGGATAGCAGATGAACAAGGAGGCTTTAGGAAAGGTAGGGGGTGTGTGGACCAGGTGTTTACAGTGAAACATATAAGTGAACAGTATTTAGATAAGGCTAAAGAGGTCTTTGTGGCATTTATGGATTTGGAAAAGGCGTTATGACAGGGTGGATAGGGGGGCAATGTGGCAGATGTTGCAAGTGTATGGTGTAGCAGGTAGGTTACTGAAAGCAGTGAAGAGTTTTTACGAGGATAGTGAGGCTCAAGTTAGAGTATGTAGGAAAGAGGGAAATTTTTTCCAGTAAAGTAGGCCTTAGACAAGGATGTGTGATGTCACCGTGGTTGTTTAATATATTTATAGATGGGGTTGTAAGAGAAGTAAATGCGAGGGTCTTGGCAAGAGGCGTGGAGTTAAAAGATAAAGAATCACACACAAAGTGGGAGTTGTCACAGCTGCTCTTTGCTGATGACACTGTGCTCTTGGGAGATTCTGAAGAGAAGTTGCAGAGATTGGTGGATGAATTTGGTAGGGTGTGCAAAAGAAGAAAATTAAAGGTGAATACAGGAAAGAGTAAGGTTATGAGGATAACAAAAAGATTAGGTGATGAAAGATTGAATATCAGATTGGAGGGAGAGAGTATGGAGGAGGTGAACGTATTCAGATATTTGGGAGTGGACGTGTCAGCGGATGGGTCTATGAAAGATGAGGTGAATCATAGAATTGATGAGGGAAAAAGAGTGAGTGGTGCACTTAGGAGTCTGTGGAGACAAAGAACTTTGTCCTTGGAGGCAAAGAGGGGAATGTATGAGAGTATAGTTTTACCAACGCTCTTATATGGGTGTGAAGCGTGGGTGATGAATGTTGCAGCGAGGAGAAGGCTGGAGGCAGTGGAGATGTCATGTCTGAGGGCAATGTGTGGTGTGAATATAATGCAGAGAATTCGTAGTTTGGAAGTTAGGAGGAGGTGCGGGATTACCAAAACTGTTGTCCAGAGGGCTGAGGAAGGGTTGTTGAGGTGGTTCGGACATGTAGAGAGAATGGAGCGAAACAGAATGACTTCAAGAGTGTATCAGTCTGTAGTGGAAGGAAGGCGGGGTAGGGGTCGGCCTAGGAAGGGTTGGAGGGAGGGGGTAAAGGAGGTTTTGTGTGCGAGGGGCTTGGACTTCCAGCAGGCATGCGTGAGCGTGTTTGATAGGAGTGAATGGAGACAAATGGTTTTTAATACTTGACGTGCTGTTGGAGTGTGAGCAAAGTAACATTTATGAAGGGGTTCAGGGAAACCGGCAGGCCGGACTTGAGTCCTGGAGATGGGAAGTACAGTGCCTGCACTCTGAAGGAGGGGTGTTAATGTTGCAGTTTAAAAACTGTAGTGTAAAGTACCCTTCTGGAAAGACAGTGATGGAGTGAATGATGGTGAAAGTTTTTCTTTTTCGGGCCACCCTGCCTTGGTGGGAATCGGCAAGTGTGATAATAAATAATAAAATAAATAAATACAGTGGGCCAGTGAGCTACGATGTTAATTCATTCCAGAAGATACACTGTACATCAAACCCCAAAATATATAGTTTTACAGTAATTCATTTCAAGACCCCAGAAGTGTGAGATTAACAATACGGTTAATTATTTTATTTTTTTATTATCACACCGGCCGATTCCCACCAAGGCAGGGTGGCCCGAAAAAGAAAAACTTTCACCATCATTCACTCCATCACTGTCTTGCCAGAAGGGTGCTTTACACTACAGTTTTTAAACTGCAACATTAACACCCCTCCTTCAGAGTGCAGGCACTGTACTTCCCATCTCCAGGACTCAAGTCCGGCCTGCCGGTTTCCCTGAACCCCTTCATAAATGTTACTTTGCTCACACTCCAACAGCACGTCAAGTATTAAAAACCATTTGTCTCCATTCACTCCTATCAAACACGCTCACGCATGCCTGCTGGAAGTCCAAGCCCCTCGCACACAAAACCTCCTTTACCCCCTCCCTCCAACCTTTCCTAGGCCGACCCCTACCCTGCCTTCCTTCCACTTCAGACTGATACACTCTTGAAGTCACTCTGTTTCGCTCCATTCTCTCTACATGTCCGAACCACATCAACAACCCTTCCTCAGCCCTCTGGACAACAGTTTTGGTAATCCCGCACCTCCTCCTAACTTCCAAACTACGAATTCTCTGCATTATATTCACACCACACATTGCCCTCAGACATGACATCTCCACTGCCTCCAGCCTTCTCCTCACTGCAACATTCATCACCCATGCTTCACACCCATATAAGAACGTTGGTAAAACTATACTCTCATACATTCCCCTCTTTGCTTCCAAGGACAAAGTTCTTTGTCTCCACAGACTCCTAAGTGCACCACTCACCCTTTTCCCCTCATCAATTCTATGATTCACCTCATCTTTCATAGACCCATCCGCTGACACGTCCACTCCCAAATATCTGAATACATTCACCTCCTCCATACTCTCTCCCTCCAATCTGGTATCCAATCTTTCATCACCTCATCTTTTTGTTATCCTCATAACCTTACTCTTTCCTGTATTCACTTTTAATTTTCTTCTTTTGCACACCCTACCAAATTCATCCACCAATCTCTGCAACTTCTCTTCAGAATCTCCCAAGAGCACAGTGTCATCAGCAAAGAGCAACTGTGACAACTCCCACTTTGTGTGATTCTTTATCTTTTAACTCCACGCCTCTTGCCAAGACCCTCGCATTTACTTCTCTTACAACCCCATCTATAAATATATTTAACAACCACGGTGACATCACACATCCTTGTCTAAGGCCTACTTTTACTGGGAAATAATTTCCCTCTTTCCTACATACTCTAACTTGAGCCTCACTATCCTCGTAAAAACTCTTCACTGCTTTCAGTAACCTACCTCCTATACCATACACCTGCAACATCTGCCACATTGCCCCCTATCCACCCTGTCATACACCTTTTCCAAATCCATAAATGCCACAAAGACCTCTTTAGCCTTATCTAAATACTGTTCACTTATATGTTTCACTGTAAACACCTGGTCCACACACCCCCTACCTTTCCTAAAGCCTCCTTGTTCATCTGCTATCCTATTCTCCGTCTTACTCTTAATTCTTTCAATAATAACTCTACCATACACTTTACCAGGTATACTCAACAGACTTATCCCCCTATAATTTTTGCACTCTCTTTTGTCCCCTTTGCCTTTATACAAAGGAACTATGCATGCAGGAAAAGTCGGTCGATGGATCTATAATTTCCTCACTAACAGAACACAGAGAGTAGTAGTCAACAGAGTAAAGTCTGAGGCAGGCACGGTGAAAAGCTCTGTTCCACAAGGCACAGTACTTGCTCCCATCTTGTTCCTCATCCTCATATCTACATAGACAAGGATGTCAGCCACAGCACCGTGTCTTCCTTTGCAGATGACACCCGAATCTGCATGACAGTGTCTTCCATTGCAGACACTGCAAGGCTCCAGGTGGACATCAACCAAATCTTTCAGTGGGCTGCAGAAAACAATATGAAGTTCAACAATGAGAAATTTCAATTACTCAGATATGGTAAACACGAGGAAATTAAATCTTCATCAGAGTACAAAACAAATTCTGGCCACAAAATAGAGTGAAACACCAACATCAAAGACCTGGGAGTGATCATGTCAGAGGATCTTACCTTCAAGGACCATAACATTGTATCGATCACATCTGCTAGAAAAATGACAGGATGGATAATGAGAACCTTCAAAACGAGGGATGCCAAGCCCATGATGACACTCTTCAGGTCACTTGTTCTATCTAGGCTGGAATATTGCTGCACACTAACAGCACCTTTCAAGGCAGGTGAAATTGCTGACCTAGAAAATGTACAGAGAACCTTCACGGCACGCATAACGGAGATAAAACACCTCAATTACTGGGAGCGCTTGAGGTTCCTGAACCTGTATTCCCTGGAACGCAGGCAGGAGAGATACATGATTATATACACCTGGAAAATCCTAGAGGGACTAGTACCGAACTTGCACACGAAAATCACTCACTACGAAAGCAAGAGACTTGGCAGACAATGCAACATCCCCCCAATGAAAAGCAGGGGTGTCACTAGCACGTTAAGAGACCATACAATAAGTGTCAGGGGCCCGAGACTGTTCAACTGCCTCCCAGCATACATAAGGGGGATTACCAACAGACCCCTGGCAGTCTTCAAGCTGGCACTGGACAAGCACCTAAAGTCGGTTCCTGATCAGCCGGGCTGTGGCTCGTATGTTGGTTTGCGTGCAGCCAGCAGCAACAGCCTGGTTGATCAGGCTCTGATCCACCAGGAGGCCTGGTCACAGACCGGGCCGCGGGGGCGTTGACCCCCGGAACTCTCTCCAGGTAAACTCCAGGTATGCTCTCTGCCAATCCCTAGGTACCTTACCCTCTTCCATACATTTATTAAATAATTGCACCAACCACTCCAAAACTATATCCCCACCTGCTTTTAACATTTCTATCTTTATCCCATCAATCCCGGCTGCCTTACCCCCTTTCGTTTTACCTACTGCCTCACGAACTTCCCCCACACTCACAACTGGCTCTTCCTCACTCCTACAAGATGTTATTCCTCCTTGCCCTATACACGAAATCACAGCTTCCCTATCTTCATCAACAATTTAACAATTCCTCAAAATATTCCCTCCATCTTCCCAATACCCCTAACTCTCCATTTAATAACTCTCATATCCTATTTTTAACTGATAAATCCATTTGTTCTCTAGGCTTCCTTAACTTGTTAATCTCACTCCAAAACTTTTTCTTATTTTCAACAAAATTTGTTGATAACATCTCACCCACTCTCTCATTTGCTCTCTTTTTACATTGCTTCACCACTCTCTTAACCTCTCTCTTTTTCTCCATATACTCTTCCCTCCTTGCATCACTTCTGCTTTGTAAAAACTTCTCATATGCTAACTTTTTCTCCCTTACTACTCTCTTTACATCATCATTCCACCAATCGCTCCTCTTCCCTCCCGCACCCACTTTCCTGTAACCACAAACTTCTGCTGAACACTCTTAACACTACATTTTTAAACCTACCCCATACCTCTTCGACCCCATTGCCTATGCTGTCATTAGCCCATCTATCCTCTAATAGCTGTTTATATCTTACCCTAACTGCCTCCTCTTTTAGTTTATAAACCTTCACCTCTCTCTTCCCTGATGCTTCTATTCTCCTTGTATCCCATCTACCTTTTACTCTCAGTGTAGCTACAACTAGAAAGTGATCTGATATATCTGTGGCCCCTCTATAAACATGTACATCCTGAAGTCTACTCAACAGTCTTTTATCTACCAATACATAATCCAACAAACTACTGTCATTTCGCCCTACATCATATCTTGTATACTTATTTATCCTCTTTTTCTTAAATATAGTATTACTTATAACTAAACCCCTTTCTATACAAAGTTCAATCAAAGGGCTCCCATTATCATTTACACCTGGCACCCCAAACTTACCTACCACATCCTCTCTAAAAGTTTCTCCTACTTTAGCATTCAGATCCCCTACCACAATTACTCTCTCACTTGGTTCAAAGGCTCCTATACATTCACTTAACATCTCCCAAAATCTCTCTCTCTCCTCTACATTCCTCTCTTCTCCAGGTGCATACACGCTTATTATGACCCACTTTTCGCATCCAACCTTTACTTTAATCTACATAATTCTTGAATTTACACATTCATATTCTCTTTTCTCCTTCCATAACTGATCCTTCAACATTACTGCTACCCCTTCCTTAGCTCTAACTCTCTCAGATACTCCAGATTTAATCCCATTTATTTTCCCCCATCGAAACTCCCCTACCCCCTTCAGCTTAGGGCCAGGACATCCAACTTCTTTTCATTCAAAACATCATCAATCATATGTTTCTTGTCATCTGCACTACATCCACGCACATTCAAGCATCCCAGTTTTATGAAGTTTTTCTTCTTCTCTTTTTTAGTAAATGTCTACAGGAGAAGGGGTTACTAGCCCATTGCTCCCAGCATTTTAGTCGCCTCATACGACACGCATGGCTTATGGAGGAAAGATTCTTTTCCACTTCCCCATCTACAATAGAAGAAATAAAGAAGAACAAGAGCTATTTAGAAAAAGGAGAAAAACCTAGATGTATGTATACAGTGGACCCCCGCTTAACGATCACCTCCAAATGCGACCAATTATGTAAGTGTATTTATGTAAGTGCGTTTGTACGTGTATGTTTGGGGGTCTGAAATGGACTGATCTACTTCACAATATTCCTTATGGGAAAAAATTCGGTCAGTACTGGCACCTGAACATACTACTGGAATGAAAAAAGTTCGTTAACCGGGGGTCCACTGTATATATATGCATGTGCATGTCTGTGAAGTGTGACCAAAGTGTAAGTAGGAGTAGCAAGATATCCCTGTTATCTAGCGTGTTTATGAGGCAGAAAAAGAAACCAGCAATCCTACCATCATGCAAAACAGTTAGAGGTTTCTGTTTCACAGTCATCTGGCAGGACGGTAGTACTTCCCTGGGTGGTTGCTGTCTACCAACCTACTACCTTTTTAATTATCATCTCACCAGATTAAGAGGAGTGTAGTCACAGGATTGCTTATACATAAACTAAAACTGTGCTGTTTGCAAACAACAAGAACAGCGTACAGTAGTCCCCACCATATCCATGGGGGATACATTACAAGACCTACCGTGGATACCCGAAACCTTGGATAGTAGCATACCCCATGTATAAGCCATTTTTTGTTGATATACATACTTGTGGTAAAGCTTAATTGATAAATTATGCACAATAAGTGCACTTCATGGCTTCTCTTAGGCTTTGAAGAACTGCCGCCATCGCTACTTTTGCACTTGGGGCCATTATTAAGCAAAATTAATGGTTATTATTGGGCCACAGTAAACCATGCATAACTGAAACAGCAGAACCTGAATCTCTGGATAGGAGGGTTCTACTGTATTAGTCTTTTTTTTTATTTTTTGTATCCGTATAGCCATGACCTTTATATACATAAGAGACTGAAGCTTTCTATAATTTATACATACACATACGTATTCATTATTACTTATAATTAGATGAAATATTAAAGCAAGATGTGGAAAGTATTTGCATTTGTCTTCCAGGTCATGCTATCTACTCTTGGTGAAAATATTGATGTGGTAGTGGGAATCTTGACATCACATGTGTTTCTGTCACCCTGTGTTGTTCATCCAGGTCCTGACTTGCGCCTTGATCCAGAGGCTTGGTTTGTAGCTCAGCAAGCAAGACTCAGGTTTGTGTACTTATGGTACATAGTTTTGTTTTTGTGTTGTACAATATTAGTAACATTTACTGAGCTACTTTCTAACATTATAGTGTATAGTACAGATACTGCTTACTTTGTGCAGTAGCTGTTCTTCAACTAGTACATACTAGTCAGGAAGATTGGAGGTTGAGATTTAAGCTAATAGAAGCACAAAACACAACAAACATTTTTACTGATCATTAAATTTACCATCAATAGGCCTTGATATAACGAAATTGTATTTTTAACTCCTTCATTTTCAATGTTTATTGCAGTGCACTATCTGTAAATTGAATGTACAGGGCTATATTAAATATACAGTAGATTACACCTACCATCCGACTTACGACCGAGTTCGGTTCCGAGAAACCAGTCGTAAGTTGAAATGGTCGTAAGTCGAACTTTACTACTGAATATCAACAAAACATTTTTGTAATGACTTTATTTTGTTTTATTTTGGTATTTCATGTTTTACTTTACTTTTTATGTTGTTGGTACTGTATTTTATACTGTAAGGTTTAGGATAAACACTGTGTACAACACAAATAGTTGTTTATTTCCCAGAAATTTGGCATAAAAAACACGGTTGTAAGTCAGATGGTAGGTGTACTTTGGTGCTTTTTTTGCTATTTTTTAACATTGTTCTGATTTAACAGACACTCAGACAATCCCCCTCCCTTTACATTAGCACATTATGTTGAAGGTTTACTGTACTTCCTGTCCATATCTATCAAAATATCACTTAAGTAACAGTCTGACCTAAAGTTATTATCTCTAAAATCTTCATAATTACTGTAGGTTTTTGGCTTGTGCTATGTATTTAATTCTTTTGTATCTCCCTAATTTTTTCTTTGACTTTAGTTTTAACTCGCTACAGCTAAATTCCCTACCCTCCTCTCTTTCTCATCCCTACCCAAGAAAGGCACAAGAGTCTAGTGGTATAGTTCTCAGGTTGACAACTTTACTGTTATTTGTACCACTGTATTTATTGTTACAGGTGGCTGCAGACCCAACTCAGAAAACTTTGTCTACATAGCTGGAAAACGGCAGATCTTCCAAAAACTTCAAATTTTGGTACAACCACCTCTGAATCACCCATTAAAGAGACGTATTTCTCCACTTTCACTGATGTAACAAAATCACCGTGTTCCAAAGATGCTGGGGATAAGGAAAGTTCATGTACGACACAAGCATCAGAAATATGTAAAACAGTAAAAAATCTCTCAGAACTGTCCATCCTAGATGAGAGCAGATCATACGCCATTACTCCCCCTAAGAAAGCAAACATGCCAAGTGTTTCATTCAATGCTTCTTTGTCGTATTCTGAATCCCCCTGTACAGAAAAAAGGCCAACATCAGAGCCTCTACATACACTTAAGAAATCCCAGGTTATGGTAAACCCTTCCCCAGATATTAGCCACTTTAGCAGAAGTTCGAGAAGTCTGAATGATGCAGAACGAATTTTGACCAGCCAGCAAAGGGAACTCTCAGAAGCAAAGTACAGGCAGTACAAAGCACTCATTAACACTCTCCAACGAGATTTAGAATACCCATTGGTTATTTCACCAAGCATTCCATCATCCATGATCACGACACCAGAGATGATGTCAGCCCATTATCATGACTCTGCAGATGAAAGCGAACAAAATTCTGAAGTGTCAACTTCAGAGATGCAGGTTTCTCAAGCTTCATTATCTAGAACACTAGTTTCACCATTGGAAGCCGAGGATTCATCACACTCACAAAGTTTATCACTGAAAGTAAAGGATTTGTCTATAACAATAAAGCATGCATCAGAGAGCCCATCCTTGGGTAATAATACTGTGTCATCAGAATCAAAAGCTTCCTCAGAAGGTAAGAATTCATCATTGAAAGTGGAATTGCCATTACAAGAAAACCAAAATAATTCATTAGATCCTATGATGTCTTCATCACATACAGAATGTGAGAAGGGAAATAGTAATCTGCAGGTAAACAAGCTTGGTGGATTTGAAAATGCAGGTAAGTTGAAGGATTGTCTTAAAGAAGAAAGAGCAAGCCATGGATTGGACAGTGATAAAGATAAGGACAGTTGGGATGAAAAGGATGAGGACATTTTCTTAGCATTGATAAAGAGTGAAGTAGATGACCATGACTTGTTCTGATTTTATTTCAGAAGATTAAATTGGCAGTTAAATAATTTAGGGCAATAATATCAGCTCAGATCCTACCTCGGTGGGAAACGGCCGACGTTTAAAAAAAAAAATAGCAGCTCCAGATATTTTAAACATATCTCCTTAGTACAAATTTGTTATATAATAATTATTGTATTAGACATTACCATAATTATCTTGACTCCAACAGCGCTGTGCCTGAAACAAGAAATCATTGTTCAAAGCTTTTAAGACATTGATAATCTGGTAAAAGGATGGAACAAGTGGGTATATTACACTTATCTCTCCAATTTAGGATAGATTGGAATTTCAGTTTATCACTAATCAGTCTTATCAGTAACACCAGCTAACACCAAAACCATTAATATCAGCCTGTTTTTTAAATGTTTCTATAACATTTAATACTTTTAAGGAGGATGAGAGTTTCTTGAGGAGGTAACTGATAAGCTTATTTATGAAGATCATGAACTAACCAGCAGTCAACAGCTTGGTTAAGGTAAGATAATTGCCTGGGATTCTGACTTTAGCTGAAGCTAGGAGAGTACAAAGGCTCTGAGGATCCTCTAAAGTATAGATACATTTTTGACCTTTGTAAATTAAATGGTAATTTTAAAAAACACTATGTTCAGATATTTATTATAGTGCTTACCGATGATATATTCTGAGTAGTGAATTTTTTAAGCTCACTTACGTTGAATCCTTCAGTTACCTAATTTTTTTATAGCACAAGTTTTGTGGTTATGCCAAATGTCAGGTTTTGTTTTATACATTTAATAATTGTAATATTTGTTGTTTAGAGTGACATTCAAATTGTCATATCTGCATGCCTTTGGCAAGACAGTGATAGTGTGAATGGTGGTGAAAATGTTTCTTTTTCGGGCCACCCTGCCTTGGTGGGAGACGGCCAGTGTGTTAAAAATAAAAGAAAGAATATAATGACAAGTGCTAAATTCATAAGTATTATTTAGTGCTACACAACACATGGGGGCATACAGTACATTGAGAGAAAATAAAGGGTAGAAAGAAATAGTCCACAAGATCAAGTGCAGATTAAAATCCATAAGGCTGACTGTATCTTTAGAAAAGAGGGCTAATATAATATTATAATTGATATGCCATTGTAAACGATGTAGAAAAATGGAAAAAGGAAGGAAGGATAAGGGAATAAAAGATGGATTTGGTCAACATGGTATTAGAAAAAGTCAGGATTTGGTTGTAATGCGTAAGATTTTGTAAGAGACTTATGTTTGGTGGATAGTGACTTAATGTTCAGAGACTAGTACAGGGTTTGGAAACATTTTTTTTTTTACAAAAGCACATCACTTGTGCTTCCACCATTTCTATATGACGTACTTTAGTTACATGTTGGGAACAAGGAACATAGGAAGGAAGAGGTCTATAAAGAGAGAAGGGAAAGATGTGGTAGGAGAGTTAAACATGAATGATGAGATAAAGCAGTCATTCTTTGCAGAACAGCAGTAGGTGCTGTGTTAACAACTTTTATACAGCATCATCCAGATTCTTGCATTTACAGACTGCACTTTTCTAGAGTCACTCCTTGAAGCTCCATTGTGTTTATTAGTAATGCACCTCTTAATATAATTTTTTTTTAAACCATACCATGGGCGGGGCTTGAACTTGCAGTTAGAGAGTCATAAAACTCCAGACCAATGTGTTAGCCACTGGGCCAGCTGGCAACAGTCAGATTCATCCAACTAGGTATATTTATACACCATAAGAAGGTTAGCATAAGCACAACTGTGATGACAAATGCAAGTTTTTACAGATGAATCCCCTGCCAGCATGGCCGTGATGAACTCTAGCTCAAGTCCCCTCAGAGCTGTCATCATGACTCGTGAAATTGTAATGACACAATTTCGTGAGTCATGAGGGGGCTTGATCCTCCATCTGTCGAGTGCGAGACAGACATGCTTCCTATTTGTGCTCACTTATATCTGATCATAAAATGAGGGTTGGTTGGCCTTCCTAAACTTCTCATACTGTTAGTGTACATTATTTCCTAACTTTTAGTATATAGAGTGGAAAGAGAGGGGGAAGGGGGAGGTCAGTATTTCACCATTCTCTCTTGGAAAATGACAGCACACTATGGGTCATCTTTGTACGAGGGTGGTTATAGATACACGTTGGTCCAGTGATTGTAAGGAATGATCTTCATCTGCTTGATGAATACCAAATTAGCTTTCAAGGAGGAAGCTCAACACTGCTCTTGGAGGCATTCAAAATTGCACACGGTTACAGTCAGTCTTGACATTAAATTCAGTTAGCAAAGCTTGTTCATGGATAAGAACACACATGCATCCTAACACACCAAGGTAGCTCCTTTGTAGGGTTAAAACAGTTGTCTTTTAAGAAGTGTTTCATAGCAAAACTTTCCCTTTAAGAGAATTACTTAAATAATAGTTATTTTCCTATAAATTTGTGAGTCTATACATTATATATCATCACTAATGTAGAGATTTATGAATTGTTAAATTGAGAAAAATGTATTTATTTTACCATTACGTTATGTAGTATTTATATAATATTTTCATTATATAATTTTTTATAAACCCTTTTAAGAAATTTTAAAAAATGTTGATATTGTAGTTGCCAGAGATCTCGGAGTCCTTGGTGTTCAGATACTACATTCAAAATATCTTAACTTCAGTAACAATCTGAATTTCTAGTTCTTATTATGAAAAGTAGAAATACAAGTAACTGTGTAATAATTACCATATGAAATACAGTGGAACCTCGGTTTTCGTATGCCCTAGTTTGTATATAAAACTATAGTTATTCTCTATAAAATGTATTTTTTGTTAATATTTCCCATAAAAAATAATGTAAATCAAATTAATCTGTTCCAGGCACCCAAAAATATTAACAAAAAAGTACATTTTATAGAGAATAACTATAGTTTTACATATAGTTTTGCATACGAAAACCGAGGTTCCACCGTATTCATCATGCAAGTTCAGTGCAATACATTATCATAAAAATATTATTTAACCCTTTCAGGGTCCAGAGGCCAAATTTCAAAGTGTGCACCAGTGTCCAAGAATTTTCAAAAAACAATTTTATTATTTTTTCTTAAGAAATGTTAGAGAATCTTTTTCTGAGGGTAATAAAACAAAAAGTATGAAATTTGATGGAAAATTGACGAAATTATGCTCTCGCGAATTTGGGTGTCTCAGCGATATTTACGCATCGGCAACTTTGACTCCCATTATAGGCCAATTATATTACTCCAGTCGACCAAATTCTTAGCTATTTCACTAGTATTACTTCTATTCTATCGATTGAGAACAAGAATTCACCAAGTCAACTGTTTCAACTACAAAATAAAGTGATCGGAAATTGGTAATATGGCCAATTTAATGCAAAGTTCAGAATACAGTGGTCCCTCGTTTTTCGTAATTAATCCGTTCCTGGAGCCGTTACTATAAACGAAATTTACGATTTGCGAATCAATTTGCGAATCAATGTTCCTGACATCCAGAAGTATTAAAACAAAAAAAATTTTTACATGAAATATACATATAGTACATAATACAATGGGAAATGATGAATGAGACATTAACAGCATAACACTTACCTTTATTGGAGATTCTTCTTAGTGTATGGGAGACTGGAAGAGGAGAGAGATTGGATTGTTTACAGTTTGGAAGGGGAATCCCCTTCCAGCAACACCTCAGGTACCAATTGCTTCTCTGGGGTTGCTTCTCTGTTTCTTAATGTCACTAGGACCACCTTGAGAGTCACTCTAGTCCTGTCTCGCAAAGTAACTGTGGAGAGAGCTCTGTTTCTGGAGTCTCTTTAACACTTCCCGAAAATGGCCCAAGATTTTGTCACTGTACATATTTCTCACCTTCTTTACCACAGGCTTGGCACTAGGAGCTTTCTTTGGAGCCATGGTAGCTTATTTAGTAATTGCAAGCACTAAAATGAGTGGAATATTATGAAATATTTCATAGGAGCACTTGAGGGGACCTTCACTCACTGGTAAACAATGCCAGACTGGCTGGGTAGGGAGGCCGCCCCGCCTCACACCGTGCGTACGCGTCCCGGACGAACTACTATTTGCGAGTCAACCTATGAAAAGCGAGTCCACGTTTATACAAAAATACCCCTATGATTGGCGAAATTTACGATTGCCGAGAACTACGAAAAGCGAGGGACCACTGTACTCTAATTTCAAAATAGGGTCCAGAATAAACAATGCAGGCATTCCTGGCACTAAACTAACATTTCCTCTGTTCATTAGTTACATTTTCAGGCTTTGCTAATGAATTCCATTTTGATTTTTTATTCACATAATGAATTTTTATTCAAACCAATCAGTAGAAGATTTACTGTTATGCAATATTGTAATACTTGTATAAATAATATCACCACATTTGTGAACGTATATTAGACCCACCAGCAGTATTAGATGTGTGAGGTCATTTGTTTACTCTTGAACATTGGCAAAAATTTAACATTTCTGCTACTTTGAGCTCAGTTTCAAGCCATTTCCATTATTAAAACCAATCAAAATCATCTCTATTTCTGCAATGTCTTCCATTCTATCAAATGAGACCAAGAAATCCCAAATACAACTATAAAAAACACAAAAAAAAACACTGCAAAGTCACTGTTTTAATCGAAAATTACGGTCTTGGTTTTTTTTCTCTCATGCACTATGTGCTTCAGGATTTGTTTTATGTGGTGCACACATACCACATAGTTGTATTCCCTCATATCTAGGCCAAACTTTATCGCTCACAGCTTATCAGAGGGAGCTAAGCTCATGACGTAGATCTACGGTTTGGACCCTCAACGTAAAGTCGTAGATCTATGGCACGGACCCTCAAAGGGTTAAGTATCAAGCCATTTTTCAACCAGTGGTATGATAATGTATTTTGAATGTAATACTATTAAGAAATTAGCTGAAAAATATTTTCAACTTTTCAAATGAATAATAGGTACTGAGTATTTTAACTTTCTTGTACTGCATTGTCTAAATATGGAATATAATTAAGTGACATGCAGAAAAATAGACATTTTATCATTGTGTTGCACTTAGTATGTTATTTTTTAAAAAGAAATAATCACTTTTATTTGAATTGCTGTGTACATTTTGGTATAAAGAATTGCTGATTAAATTAGTTATTTTAATAAAACACGTAATATACAGCCTCTGCTCACTTAGCGATGTACATACTCATTTACCGACACCTCAGACTTATGACGGGCTCTCTGACCAGTATGCATACCTAAGTAATGTATATTAGAGCTGATTTACTCTATTCTGTTTATTACAAAATACAGTACACTACTGTATAAACATTTTAAAAATATACCAGAAATGTTATAAATGGTGCAAAGGTGACATTAAAACAATATCAAAGATAGTTGACACAAACCCACTACCATTAGTATGCTCCTCACTTAGCAACAAATTTGTTTACCGACGTGGTCTTAGGAATGGAACGCTGTCGTTACGTGTGGAGAGGCTGTACTCTTACATATGGTATAATGACAAATTTTTATTATGGCACAGCAGAGTAGCATGTGAAGAATGCTTAAACTAGGGTACCATTGAAAATTGACAAAGGTGTTTCATTTATAAATGGTATGTCAGAATGAAGTGAAACTAACTTTAGAATTACAATTAAAGGCAATAAATGAGTTTGCATTAATGTGCAATCCAATTTCTGTTTACAAACATAAAGCTTTTGCTTGTTATGGTCTGTTGTCTATACATGTACTCTGATTAATGTATGTCAGAGTTTGCATATGTAATCAATTCACTTGCATGGACATTTTTGTTTTGAGGTAATAGGAATGGTGTACTAGATTCTGGTGTAGTGTCTTCCTGTGTAAAAAGTATTTGTGCATTTGCAAAAGTGTATTTCCCACCTTCACTTTCCCAACTGTCACATGAAACTGTCAGGTTATTCAAAAAGGATATTTTTTGTTATTCTAGCCTACAGTTAGTGCTGCTAATTAACTCCATCCTCCACTGACTAATTGCTGTAACTTCTTACATGGTTACCTCAGAGGAAATAAGGTAATGACATACCACATTGCAGTATATACATTTATCAGTAAACAGTCATTCTAGGCAATAGTGGTATGCGTCTATAATTGAACAAGTGCATTTTAGATGCACTTTAATTTTTTAAATTCAATTCTATTATAAATAAATGTATGTACAGTAAAACTTCTCATTAACAGACTAATAGGGGAAAGAGGAATGCACCATAATGCCAGTTGTCTGTAACTCCCACACACTAAGAACATAGGTATTGTAAGCTGTAGTACTGCAATACAGTACCACACTGTATAGTAATTTTATAGTACTCTGTAATTTACAGTAATTTTACTTACCTTTTTTTTGTGGTGGAGAGACAATAATGGTCTCAGAATAACTTTTATTCTGAATCAGAGGACCTGTAAAGCTCTATTAGTGAAAATAATGTAGATGGCTGAGAAGATGTAGAGGGGTTAGAAGACATAGATTGCTAGGAAGACGTAGATTTCTGAGAACTACACATTTTCTTGTGGCGCCACCACTTGCTTTACAGGCCATAGTTAACTGCATGTAATTTGGTAGTAAGTCACACAAAATGCTCTAAATCCAAGGAAAATTAGAGATTGAATGATGAGTGTATGTATGAGTGAGCACAAACAATAAATTGGAGTGAGTAATATACAACCCAGGGAACAATGAAAATAAGCAGGTCCTTGACATAGCCACTTTGGCCTGTACCAGGCAAACATCAGAGTTTGCAGACTTGTCTCGTTACTGGCACTGTGGACAAAATGGGTAATTACAGACTTTTGTCCATCTTGTCCAATAATTAGAGCATTTGTCTGGCTGATTTTTGTCCAAAATTGCCAAAATCCATCAATGAGAGGTTTTACTGTACTTGTACTGTACCTTAAATATAGGATTGATGTACAGCTTAACCCAATGCTTTTCATAATATTTTGAATGATTTGCAAGTCAATTAGGTTAAATACAGTCTGGTCTGGCTAGTAACTTAATGGGTGATTTCATAGATACCACCTCATTCCTGGCTTTGAAGACCTTGGGGACTTCCTGTGTCTAACAGAGGTATACCAGACCATTTAAATTTAAGGCATTAATCATGGGTTTTACTGCAATATTTGTATAATTAAGCTGAGAATACTAGTAATAAATAATAATTGGATTTTATTTAGAAGTTCATTTTATTACAAATGTTTTTCATAGTAAATTGAAGTCATTATTATTATTTAAGATTTAGATTTGGATATTACAGTACTATAAAAATTATAACTATTTTTTTAATTTGATTAATATTTTGCTTGAAAATGTCTACTTTATTCTGTGAAATATAGGAAAAATATGAGCCTAGGGAATGAATGGATTTGTCAGTTAAAAACAGAGTAGGGGAGTTAGTAGATGGGGAGCTTGAGGTATTGGGTAGATGGCGGGAATATTTTGAAGAACTTTTAAATGTTGATGAAGAAAGGGAGGCGGTAATTTCATGCACTGGCCAGGGAGGTATAACATCTTTTAGGAGTGAAGAAGAGCAGGATATGAGTGGGGGGGAGGTGCATGAGGCATTATGTAGAATGAAAAAGGGGTAAAGCAGCTGGAACTGACAGGATCATGACAAAAATGTTAAAAGCAGGGGGATGGGGGGGATAAAGTGTTGGAGTGGCTGGTATTTTTGTTTAATGTATGAAAGAGGGGAAGGTACCTAGGGATTGGCATGAGCATGTATAGTTCCTTTATATAAAGGGAAGGGGGACAAAAGAGATAATAAAAATTATAGGGGAATAAGTTTACTGAGTATACCAGGAAAAGTGTGCAGTAGGGTTATTATTGAAAATTAGAGGTAAGACAAAGTAGGATTGTGGATAAGTAAGGAGGCTTTAGAATGAGTAGGGGATGTGTAGATCAAGTGTTTAGATAAAGGTAAGGAAGTTTTCATTGCATTTATGGATTTAGAAAAGGCATATGACAGAGTGGATGGGGGAGCAATGTGGCAGATGTTGCAAGTATATGGAATAGGTAGTAAGTTACTAAATGCTGTAAAGAGATTTTATGAGGATAGTGAGGCTTAGGTTAGGGTGTTTAGAAGAGAGGGAGAATACTTCCTGGTAAAAGTAGGTCTTAGACAGGGATGTGTAATGTCACCATGGTTGTTTAATATATTTAAAGATGGGGTTGTAAAAGAAGTAAATGCTAGGGTGTTGGGGAGAGGGGTGGGATTAAATTATGGGGAATCAAATACAAAATGGGAGTTGACACAGTTACTTTTTGCTGATGATACTGTGCTTGTGGGAGATTCTAAAGGAAAGTTGCAAAGGTTAGTGGACGAGTTTGGGAGGGTGTGTAAAGGTTGAAAGTGAACATAGATAAGAGTAAGGTGATGAAGGTATCAAATGATGTAGATAAAGAAAAATTGGATATCACATTTTTAGAGAGGGAGTATGGAAGAAGTGAATGTTTTCAGGTACGTATTTGGGAGTTGACATGTCAACAGATGGGTTTATGAAGAATGAGGTTAACCATAGAATTGATGAAGGAAAAAAGGTGAGTGGTGCATTGAGGTATCTGTGGAGACAAAAAATGTTATCTATGGAGGCAAAGAAGGGAATGTATGAAAGTATAGTGATACCAACACTTATATGGGTTTGAAGCTTGGGTTGTAAATGCTGCAGCAAGGAGGTGGTTGGAGGCAGTGGAGATGTCCTGTCTAAGGGCAATGTGTGGTGTAAATATTATGCAGAGAATTTGGAGTGTGGAAATTAGGAGGTGTGGCGTTAATAAAATTAGTCAGAGGGCTGAAGAGGGGTTGTTGAGGTGGTTTGGTCATTTAGAGAGAATGGAACGTAGTAGAATGACATGGAGAGCGTATAAATCTGTAGGGGAAGGAAGGCAGGGTAGGAGTCATCCTCGGGAAGGTTGGAGGGAGGGGGTAAAGGAGGTTTTGTGGGTAACAGGCTTGGAGTTCCAGCAAGCGTGCATGAGCATGTTAGATAGGAGTGAATGGAGACGAATGGTATTTGGGACCTGACGAGCTGTTGGAGTGTGAGCTGGGTAATATTTAGTGAATGGATTCAGGAAAACCTGTTATTTTTATATAGCCGGACTTGAGTACTGGAAATGGGAAGTACAATGCCTGCACTTTAAAGGAGGGGTTTGGGATATTGGCAGTTTGGAGGGATATGTTATATTTGAGATTTTTATCTTTGTATATGCTTCTAAACTGTTGTATCTTGGCGCCTCTGCAAAAACAGTGATTATGTATGAGTGGGGCGAAAGTGTTGAATGACGATGAAAGTACGTATTTTCTTTTTGGGTCACCCTGCCTCGGTGGGAGATGGCCGACTTGTTGAAAAAAAAAAAAATATGACCATGTACATATATTGCTGTACTTAGAATTAAGAAATGCTTTGAGAGTTCAGAGAACATCAGTCTTCTTCATTGTTTATTCATAATTTATACATTATAAAGTGTTTAGTGATGCTTTGATAAATATTTTTAGCTTACAGTAAACTCTTAAAACAGCACTTGAAAAATAGCATTTTAAATGATGTGCTCAAAGCATAGTTACTCTTGAGAATGCTCCTCATTATGTTTTGTCTCTAAAGTAGCATTAATACAGTAGTCTCTACAAATTCATGGGGGTTAACGCTCCTACAGGCCCTGTGAACATAGAAACTACAAATAATGAAAGTAAAGTCTGCATAAGAGGCTTTGTTTTAGGGTAATTTTCTTGTTCAGATTGTTATTATTATTGTAATGTAGATGCAAACACATGCACTAAACCCATATGGGTCATACAGCTTTCTGTTTCTGAGGCCATATCTCTATAATTTAGTAAATCTCTCTAATGTGACCTTACATAGTTCAATTTTATCTAAACTGTTGAAAAAGGCATGTCCAAAATTTCATAACTTGCTATAAAGTGTGAAAGCATTGCTACATAAAAAATCTTTGTACTAATGCTAGAAATGACATAATAGTACAGTAAACCCTTGATATGACAGAATAATATGGGGTACATTAAGACTGCAGGTAACAAGTTCAAGAACTGTTACACCTGGCCATAACTAAAGTCAGCAGACAGAGAGCAACCTGGCAATAAAGGGTATGACTGATGTTAAAAAAAAAAAGTACTAAAAAAAGTGCACTAAAGTACTCTATACATGCTATAGTACTATATGAACAATTAAAAGCATTGAAAATGAAGCAGTTAAAAATAAAATTTAATCAATGGATTTGCCTATAATATTTAACCCTTTGACTGTCGCGGCCGTATATATACGTTTGCGAGGTACCGTGTTTGACGTATATATACTCATAAATTCTAGCGGCTTCAAATCAGGCAGGAGAAAGCTAGTAGGCCCACATGTGAGAGAATGGGTCTGTGTGCACCACATAAAAAAAATCCTGGAGCACGCAGTGCATAATGAGAAAAAAAAAACTCCGACCGTTTTTTTTAATTAAAATGCCGACTTTGTGGTCTATTTTCGTATAGTATTTGTGGTTGTATTCTCGTTTTCTTGGTCTCATTTGATAGAATGGAAACTATATTATAGAAATGGAGGTGATTTTGATTAATTTTACTATAAAAAGAACCTGGAAATGGAGCACAAAGTACAGGAAATGTTTGATTTTTGCCGATGTTCAAAAGTGAACAAATGATGTCATTGTCCAATAAATGTCCAAATAGCCATTCTAATACGCAGTCATGAATGGGTTGATGTAATTTTTACAATTATTACAGTATTGCAGTAGTCTGCATAACAGTAAATCTTCTATTTTTTGTTTGAATAAAATTTCAAAATAAAAAGCAAGAGTAATATCACAGGGACCTGAAGACATGACTGATGAACAAAGAAAATGTTATTTTAGAGCCAGGAATGTCTGCATTGTTCATTCTGGACCTTATTTTGAAATTGTATTTTTTAATTTTCGTGAAATTGGCCAAATTGCAAATTTCTGACCTGTTATTGGGTAGTTGAAATCGGTAAATGGGCAGTTTCTTGTACTCAATCGATAGAAAAAATAGAGTTCTGAAGAAATAGTTATGAGTTTGGTTGACTGGAATAACGGAATTAGCCGAAAATAGGGCTCAAAGTGGGCGAAATTGCCGATTTTTAAATATCGCCGAAGTCGCTAACTTCGTGAGAGCGTAATTCCGTCAGTTTTCCATCAAATTTCGTTTTTTTGGTGTCTTTACAATCGGGAAAAGATTCTCTATCATTTCATAAGAAAAAATAATTTTTTTTTTTTCGAATATTTTGCGACACCAGAAGCAACTTCAGGATTTGGCCCTTCGACAGTCAAAGGGTTAAAAGTCCATTATATCGTGGTCTGTTATGTCGAGGGCTTACTGTATCAATAATTAAGGGCGGCTCGTGTTTTCAAGGTCAGTGAGACATTGTTACAATAGCCTCAATCCTAAGGGTGCTGATTTTGAGAGTTTGCTTTAACATTTAGCTATATACGAGTTGCGTTTCATTCATGGTTAGAATGTTACACACCAGCATCAGATTTAAAATGTTCTCATCATCAAATTGTCCAGTATTATTCTTTTTCATTTATATTCCTACCAGTTCAGTGTTGAAGTTACCATTCCATCCTTGTCACTGTACCTGAAAAACAGTAACTCAACCTCCTGGCTTTTTGTATGGTATGTAAGATTGTATAGTTCGAAGAGAATTTTCAAGTTTAATTTTTAACTTTGTACAACATATTATACAGTGTCAGTGTGAGAAGATAATTGTAAGTCAAGGATTTTATTATAGTCTTGAGTATTAAATATACAGGTGAGAAAAAGTGCTCAGTGAAGGACTTTTTTTTTTTTTTTTTTTTCTCCCCTCTGTACTGTTATACAGTATTCACAGGAGGCAGTCAGGTTCGACCCAAGGATAAGGACAACGGATCCAATTTAGTACTGTTATACTTTGACTAACCTATATATTTATCTTAAAAGAAAAAAATACTGTATATTTTTATGGTTAGACTCAGAAAATGCAAACCATATATCTGTGATTCAGTAATGTATTGTAATTAATTTTTAAAAATTAAAGTGTTACTCAGTGCTGTTATTTTCATTTCTAATGAAGATTTCTGGGCATTCAGGGTACTGAGCATTTTTCTCATCTTTATTTATTAATTTAGAATCTTACTGCTGTAAGAAATATGTTAAGTGTTTTGGCAGCCAGTAGTCTTGTATTTTGTAATCTGAAAGCATTAGATAAAAGGGCATTAGTGTTTAATGAAGGTCTTAACTGAGCTCTGCTATCATTGTTTTAAACATGGCTACCAGTTTTGCTTGTACAGACTTGCATTAAATATGTAAGTACAGTAATGGCAATAGGATGTTCTCCTTTGTAATTGCTCTTCATGCCTTGTATGAAATTTAGCAAACAATGTGAGCTTGTTTTATGGCATCTTTTACTGTATCAGTATAGTTTTTTGCATCAAATCATGTATAGTAAAACAAAAAGGTTTGAATTCGATTAGTTGTAATTCATTATATTCATGGGATGCACTATATAGCACCTGGGGAGTGGGCAGTATTCCAGTTTGATTAGAGGCAGAGGATACCACCACTTCTTGGATCATGAGCCCATTAGCAACAAGGCAGTTTTCCTTTAGCGAGCTGTGTATATTCAAGATGTTCACTGTAGGCTTTATACAAAAGAAATATTGTACTTTTTTTTTTTTTAAAGGGCGAGACAGAAGCCTGTTAATTATTTTATGCTCGCAAGGGAGAAGTAAAAGGGATTCGATTTTTGAGAGGAAAATTTTGGCAGATTGGGATATGGGAAATTTGGGGGATCCATAGATTAACAAAGGGGAAGAAAAAATTTGGTGGTTTTATTCAGGCCCTTTGTGAAAGACCCCCTTTTTCTTGAAGGGAAAAATGGGAAAAAATACCCGAGTATAGGTTTGGGACCAGGATTATTATATGGGTTTATTGAGTTTCCTTTTTTGGGTTTTTGCTGCTGGGAATGCCCGTAATAAAAAAAAAATCAAAATTTTTAATTCAGGGATTAAAAACTTTTCCTTTTTATAGTTCCCTTTAAAAACTTTCCCATGGGGTTTTTTCTTTTATTTTAAAACCCTGATTTTTTTAGTGTGTGGAAAAAGATTCACAAATTGGGAAAAATTTTAAAAATCCCAGCCCCAAACTTCCTCCATTGTTTTGCAAAGGGGGTGTTAAAATTTTGATCTTGCATGAAGCTTGGGGGTTTTCTTTTTTATAATGTAAACTTTGCAAGTGGGGGTCCCCTTTATGCAAAAGAAGGGTTCTTGATTCAAAAAAATGGAGCGCCCTTCCTCTCAAACCCCAATTTCTTTCCTTCCAAATTTTTGGGGAAAAATTTATGATCTTTTCAAATTTTTGTGCTTCCTCATGGAAAATGTTTTAAAGGGGGTGTGAAAATCATGAGTTTGTGTTAGTAAAGAAATGTATCCCCCTTTCAAACGTGCCCCGTTTTTAAAAAACCCCTTTTTGGGGTTTTGTGCTTGGTTTTGATTTAATAGGAATATCCCCGCCCTTTAGGGGAAAAAGGACAAAAAATTTTCACCAAAAAGCTTTTTTTTGGGTTTGGGTTTAGGGTTTTTTAAATCAATCCTCCCCCCAAAGGGAAAGGGTTTCCCTTTTGTTGGGTGAGGGGCTTTGATTTTAGGGGAAATTGGGTCTGTGCTCCGGGTTTCCCCAAAATTTAAGCCTGAATGCCTTCCACATACCCCCCCAGGCGCTGTATAATCCTCCGGGTTTAGCGCTTCCCCCTTGATTGTAATAATAATAATAATAATAAATCACTCCTATTTTTATTATATTTAGCTGCCCAGTCCTCTTCAAGGGGGTCTCCTTGGCATGGTGAAGAGGCTCTTGGTCTGAGGAATTAGCCCTGTCGGTCTTCTTCCTCAGACCGAACCTAATTACCCCCCATTCTCCCCTCCCCTATCCCATCCTCCCCTTTTTCCATTCCTCCTCCTCACCCCTCCCTTTTGCCCTTCCTCTTTTTGGCCTTTGGGATTTCTCCCACAGGCGCACTAGTTCCTAGGTAGGGGAAAGGACACCGGGGTCCATCCCATTCCGTTGAGGTTCTTGGCGGTGGCGTAGTTTGCCGTGGAATCTGGATTGCTTGGGGATGTCCCGATCCCTCTCCGGTATCCCGGAGTAGCTTTGGGTGTCTTTTGGGCGACGGGTGTTTCTCTGGAAGCCACCTTTCGGATTCCGGGGGTGGTGGCCGAAGGAGGTATGCTTTGTGGCGGATATCCGGCCGCCCTCTCTTTTGTCCACCGAGGTAGCTCGGCAGATGTGAGGTTGCTATCCCGGATTGCTGGTTTACTGGCATGAAGGGTAGGGTATGGCACGGGTTCCATGCTGCATCTGCGCTACTAGCGGTGTTGAGGTCCTCTTGGGCGCGGAGGGAGATTTCCGGCCCTTTCATTCCTCCTGGGAACTATTCCTCCCCGCTCCCCCCTTTTTTTATTTTTTATTTTTATTTTCTTCTTTCTTTTTTTTTTTCTTAAAAACAAAAAGCAAAGGAGTAACCTAACCATGGCAGCCCTAGTCCATGAACCCACTACCCCCGGGCCCCTTCTTGATACCGCACCCCATTCTGACCCTGCCTTGTGTTTAGACCACTCTTCGGACACTCCTGATGCCCCTGTACCTCTTGCTGGTGCTGTTTCCAGCCCAACTGTCTACGGTCGCTTCCCGCTCTCTTTTTCTTGACCACTTTCACTCTCATTCTCATGCCATTGCTGTGTACACAGATGGCTCTAAGTCTTCTGACGGCGTAGGATTCGCAGCAGTGTTTCCGGACAGCGTCGTACAGGGGCATTTACTATCTTCGGCTAGTATTTTTACTGCTGAATTATATGCCATCCTTACAGCACTTATCCGTATTGCATCTATGCCTGTGTCATCATTTGTGGTTGTCTCAGACTCCCTTAGTGCTTTACAGGCTATACAAAAATTTGATACACCTCACCCCTTAGTCCTCCGTATCCAACTTTGGCTACGCCGCATCTTTACCAAGCATAAAGATATTGTTTTTTGTTGGGTCCCTGGTCATGTTGACGTACAGGGCAATGAACAGGCAGACACTGCTGCGCGGTCAGCAGTACATGACCTACCAGTTTCTTATAGAGGTATTCCATGTACGGACTATTTTGCTGTAATAATCTTCCCACCTTCACACCGTTGGCAACAACGTTGGTCTACTATGCTCGGCAACAAACTTCAGTCTATTAAACCGAGTATAGGTTACTGGCCGTCTTCTTATCACCAGTGTCGAGGTTGGGAGACTATTCTCTCCCGTCTTCGCATTGGCCATACTCGTCTTACTCATGGATATCTCATGGAGAGGCGTCTTGCTCCTCTCTGTGAGAATTGCCAAGCTCCATTATCAGTCAGCCACATTCTGTTGGACTGCCCACTTTATCAACGAGCACGCAGAATTTACCTCTGTCGTCGTCTTCGCCCCGCTGCTCTCTCTTTACCTTCCCTTCTCGCTGATGGACCCACCTTTCATCCGGACTCTCTCATTGACTTTTTGACAACGACTGACTTACTTCACAAATTCTGATACTTTCAGCCCTTTCTACTTCAGTCTCTTGCTACCCTCTACCCCCGTACTATCCCCTGCCCCGCTGTTTGCTGTAACCTGCTGATCATCCCCCCTCCCTTCTGCCATCCAATTCCCTTGCTTCCTTCCCTACCCTGCAGCGCTGTATAGCCCTTGTGGCTTAGCGCTTCTTTTTTTATTATAATAATAATGGTGCTGTTTCCTCACCCGCTTCAGGTACCGGGGCTTCGACTGACTCCTTCGATTTGTCTGAACTCCGCTCTCCTTTGACTATGCTTCCGGCTTCTCCCTCTACGGTATGGCAATTTTCGAATCGCCCGCCCATTTCACGCCGGACCAACTCCGGTCCTACTCCTAAACGCCAACGTCAATCTCCTGATGATGCTCCTTCGTTACCTTCCCATTCTACTCGGAAAAGACGACACGTCAAGCACTCCCTCTCCACGCTCAGTTTCAGACCACACAATGGACTAAATTCTTTACTTTAAGACCGAATTCTTCTTCTACCTACCTTTCTGACCATAGTATTGGCAAAGCGCTCTGCGTCATGTTGGTAGAGATATTTCATTTCATGCTCTCAAGAGTGGTATGCGCATCGTCACTGTCCAGAATGCTACCCAAGCTCATGATCTTTCTCTCCTTTCGAATATCGATACTACTCCTATCACTATTGAAAAACATCTTTCTCTCAATTCTTGTAGTGGTACTGTCATTTCTGCCCCATACCATAGTCCAACAGAATTTCCAGTCATGTGGCAATGACATTTTTGAACAGCTGGAAACTCCAGGATCTCCCAATCCTCAAAGTAGACACTTATGTCCTTCCTGCCCGGGGGCGGAGACGTTACCCTTGCAATGTGGCTCGTTTAACTTTTGACAGCCGAGAACTCCCGTCCTCTGTATATGTCGCGGGACATCGGTTACAAGTTCGAAAGGTGATACCTACACCGCAACAATGTAGAAATTGCTGGTGTTTTGGTCACCCAGCGAAATATTGCAGATCTATGGCCGAATGCCCAGTCTGTGGTGCCGACGACCATTCTAATACATCTTGCAGTCAACCTCCATCTTGCCTTAATTGTAATGAAGCTCACCCTTCGTACTCCCGCCGTTGCCAGGTCTACTTAAATGAACGTGAAATCCGTTGCCTCAAAGAGGTAGAAGGTCTCCCTTATGCTATGGCAGTTACTCATCTCCGCCTCCAAGGGAGACTATCCCGTGTTTCCAAACATCCCCCCACTTCTGGGGTACCATCTTCTGCAGCCTCCTCTGTTGTTACCCCTCCCATAGCCACTATGGCATCTAATCCTTTTGCTGTCCTTGGCTCTGACGTCCCGACTACAACTCAGTCTGTTCTCACATCTTCGCGTCCTTCCTTACAAGCCCCAGTATCGACAAGACCTCGTACGACACCTAATACCAATCGCCCCTCTACTCAGAAGTCCAAAAAATCCACATTGCTCAAATCTTCTTTGCCCCTTCCTTCCCTTCTTCTACCTCCACACTTTACCTTTCCAGTCTCTGTACCTACTTCCCCTCTCTCTGGCTCTATTACAAGTGTGGAGATTCACCCTCCTCCTCGTACTATGCCTTCCACCCCCGTCCCCTCCCAAGTTTCTCCCTCTTCTGCCACCCCAGGTTTCTGCCTCTTCTGTCCCCCCCCCCACACTTCATCTCCAGTCCCTTACACTCTTCCCTCCCCCTCTACTTTGGTACAGTCCATTACTGCCCAATCTTTACTCACCCTCCCCCTTCTATCTCCAATATGGTCTCCCATACATCTTTGAATTCAGAAACACTTGAAGCCATTTCAGAATATATTG